GCTGCACCTGCTGCTGCAACCCTTGCGAGCCGATCACGTTGAGCTGCCAATCGGGGGTGTAAGGCATCCCAACCATATTTCTCCTCGGCCGTGCGAGCGAAATTGACATAAATATTTACATCACCATTCAAGGGGATGTCAAGAACAATTGTAGGGGCACGCGTCTCCGTACCGTCATTACCTCCGAGTCCCATCAGGCCTGAACCAGGAAGCGGCGGTGGGGTAAGGAGAATATCTTTTTCTTTCTCTTTCTCTTTGCCCTTTGCCGGTGGTTTCGGCGTTGATGTTCCTGAAACTCCGTTGGCTGCGGTTTTCTTATTCGAATTACCGTTAGAAACTTGAGGTTCCTTTTGCGCCAAAACAATTGGAGCAGTAGGTGGTGTTGGGGCGGGCATTGGTTGTGACGTTAATGTTGGGGTGGGTGCAAAGGGCCGAGGACTATTTGTCTCAGACATTGCTGATAATCCTAACCTGTTAACAATTGGGGAGGCAGGTAAGGAAGAATGGCCGTCTTGTTGACGTTGTTGATGCATTAAAAATGAATGAGCCGATGGTGAGGTCAATGGCTGATTCGGAGGGTCGACGAGACTGGCGATGGAAGGTGATGCACTGGCGCGATTGGTGACTTGAGGTGGAATTGGTGATCCCTGAGAATTATTGTACGAGTGATGACTGACGAGGGTTTCTCGAACGGGATCATAATTAGATCTAATAGGATCATAATTCTGACCGCTAGTACGGACCGCACTTTGTGGTTGCGGTTGTTGTATTGCCACATGTGACTGAGGTTGACTGATTTGTTGCTGTACTTGTTGTGGCGGAGGAACTTGAGGTTTTGGTTGAGGTGGGGCGGAATTGAAGAAAGATTTGGGAATAGCCTCACTTTGACCCGAATTGGCAATCATAGCGTTCTGTACTGGTGGGGTCGCAGGAGCACTGAAGCTAACATCACTTAAATGCATTCCAGGAGCATCCGTAATCTTGGTTTGTCGTGATGATTCTCCCCCATTGGTATTTTCGGAAGGTGTAGCCTTTGGCTTTCGTGATCGTGCAGAAGGAGGAGCGTTAGGGTCTCTTGGTTTGCGTACTCTTTTAGGTTTTGGAGCGTCGGTATTGGTGGCCGAACTAGCATCACCGACCTTTTGTCTAGGTTTTCTAACGGCCTTCTTGCGGGTTGGCTTTTCTGATGTTGAAGCAGCTCCATTAGATTGGTTGACGGTAATGCTATTTGAATCATTACGAATTTGTATGTCATCTATCTCGGGACTGGATCTTGGTGGGGATGATAAATCGGAATTGCTGTTGTTGGAACCCATTGGTGGTGAGACCCCGCGAACATCATGAGAATTTGACATTTTTGACAAATAAAGTCAAATTATTTAATTTGGGGTATTTAAATGTGTAATCGACACCATCTATTGCTCTCTGGAGAAGTGTACGTATGACAACTATGATTCTTTGATTTTTGGTGTGATTTGCATGTAACCCGTGATTGTTGTTGGCGATAACGTTCGTAGTACGAAAGCGTTGCGAAACTTCTGAATAGCTTCAAATTTGACACGAGGATGAGGAAAATGAAAAATCGTTGTTGTTGATAGGAAGCGAGTTGAGTTTTAATGTGATTGATAGAGGAACAAATAGTTGAGACCAATCGCTATCTAATGGTATTATTTTGAGGCGGTGATCGATAGAAAGACCCAAATGATTGATGAAATGGATCGATTGATGATTTGAACTTGTATAAATTGTTAAGTGTAAATGAGAAGAAGGGTTTGGGTTGAAGAAAAGTGTTGAAAAGGTGTTTAGATATGGAGATTGAAGAGAGGGGGATTTTAGACTTCTTGTACTTTGATCATTACTACGTTTTGGATTTAATTCAATACAAGCGACATTTCCAATTATTCACAGACGCCATTTAATCAGAAACTCTTTTGGGGCCGTATGGTACGGATGGGAACGAAAGGCAAGGTGGTGGTGGTGGTGGTCAAGGGCAAAGGCAAAGGCAAAGGTAAAGAAAGGCAAAGGGAAGAGGGAAGAGCAAGGGAAGGAAAGGGAAGGGAAGGAAAGGGAAGAGGAAGAGGAAGTGGGAATTGGATTGGGAAAGAACGGTTGCCGGAACATGGACTGATCGATTGACTGACTTGACTAACTGACTGACGGACTGACTGATGACTTTAGATGAGAGAGCAAGAGAGAAAGAGAGATTGTCGACGCTAGTTGGTCAAAAATGCCGTGGTACTAGCAATAAGTAAGCCTTTCTGTTTCGATTTCTTTGCTTTTTCCTACCCACCTTCACCTCAATCAATTGGTACGACTTGGTCTGGGCATATGGGGCTTTGCTTTAGATTTGGGTGTTGGACATGGGGGTATGTGTTCGGAGCTTAAGTGCGGTGGTGGGTGGTGGGTGGTGTGTTCCATTGCGGATCATCGAAGCAATTAAAATAGTCCTGTGAGCTGTAGGTCCCTAGGCACTTTGGTTGGTCTGACAAGGGAAGATAGAAGCGTAGCAGAGAATGTCCTTCTCCAAGCTACGATGGATTGTCCGATGAGAATAGACGATAGACGAAACAAGACCAGGGCTAAAGGGGGAAAGGGTGCAAAGGGCAAGAAGGGTAAAAAGGCTTACCTAAGGCAAAATGGTCCATTTGGTAATGGGAAAGTAAATAAGAATACGGATCTAGGAGACACAGAGAGAGAGAGAGAGAGGGAAAGAGAGAGGGAGAGAAAGAAAGAAAGAAGAAAAGAAAGAAAGAAAGTACCTCGATAGTATTCGATAAATCAATTCTCCCTTATTTTTAGCTTGAAGAATACTGGTAGGTAATAATTATCCGTTTTTCCAACAATAGGACTGACTGACTCTCACCACCCCAGTCTCCCTCCCTCTATAAACTGACAAGGGGGGTTTATAATGCCTGTGATTTTATACCCAGTTATATCCAGTTATATCCAACGGAAACATCAGATAACATCTCCGTGTGTGCAGCCGTATGTGCAGTTCCGCATCTAAAAGAAATCTCTCCATTTTCGGCAAATACTGTCCCAGAACCTACTTCAATTCAATCTTCCCCTTTAAATGTTCGTATCGTGAGTGATAAATATTTTGCTTCATCCGAGGATACATATATATATCATACCTTCCTATGCATCTACCTGGCATGGACACTTATGTCGGTATATTATTAACATGCATAACCTCGAGCCAAAAATGTAACAACAGAATTGATATTGTTTTCCATCGAGATGTTGTCAATCGTTGCTCGACGTCTGATGGCTTCCCGAAATAAATGTTTGTGAAATGCAGCTAGTCAGATATGAGTTAGCGCATAACCTTATTTTTTTCCTTAGAGGCTCACGTTTGTGATATCCTAGCAGCCTTGCATACGGATCTTAATTTCCCCACAACCTAAACAAAAAGACTACAAAAACACTGCCTAGGTAGCTCTGCGCAAAAATATACTAAACATGGAGTTTCGTGGTGAGAGATTCACTGTGAATCTTTCCGATGATGAGGATGAAATCGAATCAAGGTCAACTATTCCATCGAACAATACCCCTTCATTTACCTCTCCCTTCGTCGCAGACATCAAAGAACGTTCTACAAAACCACCAACAGCTCCTCAATTAAAAACCTCAACGACAGGCTTTCCCGAACATAAAAAAAGAACACGAGTATCAGCATTCAAAAAACAACGGGCGGGTAACGCAAACGATTCGGTGGCAGACATTCCAAACGCAGCGGTGGCAGATTCTCCCAATGCTTTCGGAGTTCCACCTTCTCAGGGACGTCCAACGGGCGCAGAGACGGCAGCTACTCGGGAGGACGATTTCAGTATCGAAAAGGAAAGGAAAAGAATAGATGAGGAGAATAAAATGAGAATAGCTTCTATGTCAAAAGAAGAAATCGAGCAAGAACAAGAAGACTTACTCGCTACTTTAGATCCTTCTTTGATCCAACGACTTTTGAAGAGAGCCAATTTCGATGACGGACGTGGAGATACGGGAATCGATCCCCCATCTTTGACTCAATCTCTAAAGAACGATGAGGCCAAAACTATACCTCTGGAAAACAAAGATCAAGCCACCCCTGCACCCAAACCAGAAGGAAAGCCAGTCGCGCCTCAAAAGTCTGTGAGATTTGAAGAAGATGAAGAGCCGGCAAAACCCATAGATCTAAAACCAGCATCAGAGCCTGCTTCGAGCGTTCCTGAAGTTCCTCAACCATCTATACACTTCCCGACCGCTTCCGCTGTTCCAGACTTAGATCCGAACGACCCTTCGTTTCTCGAGAACCTACATCAGAAATATTATCCATCTCTTCCCGCTGATCCTTCAAAGCTCGCTTGGATGGCACCAATACCCACACATGGTTCGGTAGCAGATCAAGAATCTCCTTACTATCCAGCAGCGGAAGCTTTAGCAGCTTCAGCTCTTCGATTTGATTTTAGAGGAGGATTATTGCCACCCAGAATCGCGAGGGCTATGCCAATTACCAAAGGGCTGCACCATCATGGTGAGGCTCCTGAAGCTGCTGGGTATACAATTCCGGAATTGGCAAGATTAGCTCGCTCTGCGTTCCCGGCCCAAAGGTGTATTGCATTCCAAACTCTGGGGCGATTCCTATATAGGCTCGGCAGAGGCGAGTGGGGAGATCCGGGTACTGAGATGCCAAAGGGTCTTTGGAGAATCGTGGAAGAGGGCAAAGTTATTCAGACTCTTGAGGAAGCTGCTAATACCGAGGGGGGCACCAAGGCAGCAAAGCCTACGCTATAGAAGCTTTATGGCTTTGGCAGAAAGGTGGTGGGCATATTTGGAAGGCTGATTGACGAGTTATGAGAAATGATCTTTGGCCTAATGTTTATGATGTGTACAAAAGATCCTTGGAAATCAGCATGAGTTTTTATATCATGATATGATGACGATTCGCAATCAAGGTGATTGTGTTAGACCTATCTGCCTATTATTTGCAAAAACATCATTTCGACGTCCAAACGCTCACAAACATGTATACCCATCCTATCAACCCAGAAAAGAATCTTATGTTACGATATTCAAGTCTGAGTAGAACATTCGTTGCATGGCCAGATTCCGGGAGAAAAAATTGGCTAAGAAATAGAAAGTTCAATTATCACGGGTTTGAGAATCCACAAGTAAGTTAAAGCGAATTGGTGACAATTTTTAAGCTTTTGCATCAAAAAGTTCTCTTGCCTCACTCCATTTCATACCATTAATCGTAGATTGTTACGACAGGATTGGCTATCAGCAAGAGCCTCGCTAGTAATATTTCATGTCACAAACCGCCATATCAAGCAGTCGCGCTTTCCAATTTTAACAGTAGGGGAATTTCACACCTCTTTCTTAACTTTATATGTCTCTTCGATACCTTGAGCCTTCTGCCCTACTTTCTTATTTCCTCTTCTTCTATCAAAATCTCCATTCATAAGTACACCCATCAATTCCTCATTACTATTCTCGATTTTGGTTTGGGTTTCTGATTTTGTTTCTTTTCGTATCTTTTACTAGATACTAAATCATCTCGCTTTTAGAAATCAGTATTTATATTGATAGAAATCGTGCTTATTGTTTACCGCCGAGTATCAATTCGTTTTGACTGAAAGTCAATAAGCAGTTCTGGGATATTTTTGGACTTTGGTGCGGCAGATATCTTTTTACAACCTGCTCTGGTTCAGTCACCTGGTATTAGGATTCAATGTCTACCCCAACAGCTTTGGCTTTGAAGGTCATGAAACTACCACATGCACTACCACGACCGATGTCGATCGAGCAGGAAGGTGAGGAAATAGAATATGTGGAGCGGAAGAGGAAGAAATCGACGAAGAGGAGGGCTGATTCGGTGGTTGATGGAGACAGTGGCATGACAACGCTGGAGGGAATGGCATCCTTTAATGACACCAATATTATGTCGCCATTGAAAAAAAAACATGACCCAGAAGAAAAGCATGCCACTGTAGAATCTTCAAAGGACGTACATGAGAATGGGCGGCAATATTTGGGTAAACAGGGGAATACACGGGCGCGTTTCATCGATCGTGATGACCGCATTAGACTATACGTTGGTAAAGTCTCGCACAATCGTCGTACCTTTCACACCCCGAAAGCCCTTCTTCGTGCCAAAGTCAAATACTTCGATGACCTTTTCACGCGGAGCCCCGAGATCAGGCATATGAATCTTCCCGACAAAGAACCAACTTCCTTTGCTCTGTTTCTCGACTGGATTCAACGCGGGGTGTACGCACCTTTGGATATCGAAGAGGGACCTATCCCCTTTCGGAGTCGCATCATCCTGTATGGTCTAGGAGTTGAATACGATCTCTCAGAACTGATGGATTATACCATGACCGTTCTCATCACAAATTATGCAATGCATGATGAATTGTCATTCGACGAAGAATACGCCCATTTGATATATCTGGATACGGATGACGGTTCCAAACTTCGTTCGTTCGTGTCCCACTCATTGGCGATTAGCCTTTTAGCTATAGGTGATTTTTCAGAGAAACAGGTCTGGATGATGGGATCTGGCCATCCGAAATTGTGGAGGGATGTATCGAAATGGATGAATGCTATTAAAAAAGAGAGCTTCGTGACTCCGTCCGTTCCTCCCTCATCTCCTAAACCTTTGGCTCCTTCAAAGTGTATTTTTCATGTCCACGATATAGGAGCGGCATGCGAATTCATGGGTGATATGTTCTAGTGGGGTTTATAAAATATTGTGTGGTCGTTAGAGCTGATACTGGGAGAAATGCTTGAAGTGCTGCGTGTATTCATGATCATGCGTTTGTACTGGGGATTTTGGTCGAAAGGCTCCCCCACACATTCATGTGGATAATATTCTAGTGGTTGAATCAAAGAACTTGGTATGAGTACCTGTGCCAGTTGCCTATATCTCTTCCAGTATTTTCCTTTTTCGCATGAAATATCATCTAATATACACCCGATTACCTAACATATTTCGTCGTTAAGGAAGTTTTTGATTTCGTTCCTTCATAAAACTACATTGTAGCCAATCATATCCGTAACATCATAGCAAGTTACATTGTAACTTAAACTGCCCTTTTCTTTGAGTCTCCATCGACTTCACCAGTGCTACTAGCACTTGGCGTCTTCAACTCTTCGCCCTCGACGCTGTCCACAACGCCTGCTTGCTCATCCTCATCCCACGCATCTTCCATATTCTCATCCCAATTATCCACTTCTTCATCTAGTGTCCTCGATGCCGCGGCCACACCACTCTCCTGTGCTCCCACTCCCTCTCCCAATTCCAAATCTTGCTCTTCATCCCTGGTACAACATGATACGTCTTTGCCAGTCGCTTACGCTCCAACATCCGCAAATGATACCAACTACACAATGCGACGCCAGCTAGCGAACCTACGATATTGGCGACAATATCGTAGAAATCAAAGGTTCTACCATTGGGCAAGAAACCCTGAAGGAATTCGGAGCCGATTCCAAGAATACCGGTGCAGATTATTAAAGTAAAGTTGAGGTTTCTTCGACGACTGGTATCGAGTATCCAATAGAAGACGACGGTGAGGATGAAGAAGGTTATGGTGTGCAGGACTTTGTCGTTAATGACTGCGTCGACTTGGATGGATGTCAACCCCGCATAACCAGCGAGTAGGAGAAGGAACAGGAATGCTCCTATCGTGACAAGATTGTGTTAGTTTGGGAGATCTCTGGGGACATGGGGAAGGGATTATGGATAGGATGGTATGGTGTGGAGAAGGAGGGGAGGGCATGAAACTGGGAGGGGGAGCTAAAGTATGATTTACCTGCAAAGGGTAGCCTTATGCGCATTTTCTTGAAAGTCCTCGAGCCCTTTTCTTTTCTTTTGTGGTAAATTGGATTTCCTCGAGGTTACAAAAGCATCACTGCTAGTTTTTAACTAACTTGTATGGGTTGATTTCCTTATGGATTATGTTGAGACAAGCTCTCTCTTCTTGTGTTCAAAAAGAGTTCAGAGCTTCTGGTTAAACCTGGCAACTTGCAGATTCCTTCTCCATCTCCCATGTGGGTTGGCTGCAGCTCGAAATCACGCCTGAGGTTCAATTTCTTTCCAATGGTCAGTCAGTCTACTTCGTGCACCTATCAAAATTCTTGCACGGACCAATATCTTCAATGTTGAATATGGAGATTCAGTACGAGGTAATCTTTAATTCGACCTATACATGGGAAAATAGATAGATAATTGAAATGTATATATTTATGTTTGTAAATTGTGATGTATTGTAATGATATACGAATTTTGAAGATATTCCAGGAGGGAGAACATGAAATTCATGAGGAAATGATGGTCCAAATGTTGCTCAATTCATTGTCTTTTCAATACACTACGAGTGCTAGATTTCTAGGTAAGGGAATCACAGACAACGTCCTACAACCACCAAATCTAACCTCATCTCAAGAACTTCATCAAACCATCAACATCAACGCCATAAATTAATCAATATTTTGCGCAAATCTCATACAAAGATGCGCACAATATCGAATCCAATTTAAATCACGAAAAGGCGACAACTTCAAGACGGTTTGTCGCGACCTAGAGATTTGACGTTATGGGCGGCGGAGAGAGGGGACTTTTGTCTCGCTCTGGGGTATCCGGACACAACTCTTCCATCACAAATGGCACATCATGGTCACCTTCCTCATCGAATGTAATTCATTCCCAAAAGACTTACCAAAATAAAAACAATACTCCTCCGCGATCGCATACTCCAAGTATATTCGATGCCACAATGGCTGACTCGGCCAACGTACAGGAGGAGGAAAGTCAAAGGACAATATTTAAAGAATTATATCGCCGCAGCGAGGCAAAGTTGGCGGGATTATTTGGAGGTGGAGATTCTCCTGCAGATTTCAATGAAGATCATGATGTCTCGGCACAAAACACACAATTGGTCGAAGATGCAACTGCCATTGAACCGGCTAAGCAAGCACAACCACCAAAGAAACCGGCGCGCGCCATAGACGAAGACAATTATGATGATGATGACGAGGACGACGAGGATGAACAACAAGATTCCCCCTCAAAGGCAAGAAGCGCGAATGCTTTGTTGTCGCCTTCGAAGTCGGGGAGTTCTCCCATCCAATCTGACTTATCCCCCTCAAAGAACGCGGAACAAAATAAAGATGATGCGGCGAGCGACCTCCCTAAAACTTCTGAAGATGCGCGCAAGAAATTGGAAGAGGAGAAGAAGGCCGTCGAGGATGCTGCCAAGCGCAGTTTCAATACCATATTCTACACATTGGAGAATGATCGGATCGCCATGCTGGAACAGCAGCGGCTGGAGGAATCCGAAAGGCAAACAGACGCGGAAATGGATAATAATGGCAATGCTGGACCTGCCAATAATCGACAAGCCGAACAACATAGTTCCCTGGCCAGTGCCGAGATGGGCGCATCGAGTTTGACGTTGAAGAATCTCTTTGCTCGCATCGACGCCAAGCGTGACAGGGTCCAAGCTACGGATCTAGAGTTGAGAGCCTTGATCAACGAGGTCCGTAAGAATAGAAGTAAATGGGCCAGTGAGGACAATGTTAACCAGGAAGAGTTGTACGAGGCTGCGGATAAGGTTTTGAGTGAGCTCAAGGCTATGACAGAATACTCGGCTCCTTTTCTTGTCAGAGTCAATAAGCGCGAGGCTCCTGATTATTACAACGGTAATTTCCATGGCTCATACATGAGTGAATTTTGTCGCTGACATGAAATAGTTATCAAGCACCCTATGGACCTCGGCACAATGACTAAGAAGTTGAAGACACACCAGTACAGATCGAAGAGTGAATTTGTTGCCGATCTCGACTTGATATGGGAGAATTGCTTGAATTATAATGGCGCAGATAAACATCCTTTGCGAAGAAATGCGGAGAGCATGAGGAAAGAGGCAGCAAAACTTATCCCCTTGATTCCAGATCTTGTTATTCGACCTCGAGCAGAAGTAGAAGCAGAGGAACGTCGCAAACAAAATGGAGGGGATGATGCTGATGAAAGTGACGACGAACCTATCATGTCTTCTAGAGGTCGGGGTGAAGGTGGTCGAGGTGTGAAGGGGCATGGCAAGGCACGGAAGAATACTTCCAGGCGTGAAGAAAGCACCCCGGGCATCGATCAAAAACCTGCTATTCAACTCAATGGCGTTCTCGGGAACCTCAATCAGGATGGTTCAGAAGTGGATGGTAGTCAGAATGGCTTTTCTACTCCGATTCCGGGTGGTTCAGTAACACCTGGCGGCATGAATGGTGTCGCTAGTCAGGGTGATGGTATGGATATTGATGCCCCTTCAATCAATGGCATGGGTATGCAAGGATTTGCGACAGAAAACATCTATGAAGATGAAGAGTATAAAATCTGGAAGCAGGTCACCAAGAAAAATCGTGCCATGGTCGCTAAAGATCGAAACCGATTATTCAAAGGTGATAAGTTGAATCCAGATGAACCTGCTCTTCTACGAAGCAAAGCCGGGATGAGAAGGTGGCTGCGCCAACGGAAACTGGATGATCCCAATAGCTCGAATGTCGAAGGTGCCATTGAAGATAAAAAAGCGAAACAGGGCGCAGAGACTCTTGCCGAAGGTATGGAGGGCGAAGAAGAACAGTTCTTGCCTGATTATTATGATCCGCTATCAGCCATTCCAGATATCAACCCGAGATTACAATGGGTGGAAGATGCGGATGGTAATTTGGTTGAACAGTCGGGAGAATTTCTTCGAATGGTACCTGCTGGACATTTTACCGCACCGAAAAGTTTCTTGACTGGCAAAGTTGAAGCCAATATGAAGCAAATGCAGGAAACGAGAAAGCTGTGTTCCAAGATTGGTGTTATAAAGCAGATGCAATTGCAGGCGCAGGTAAGATTGAGCTGGTTTTGGCCGGAGATTGAATTTTACTAATTTTCCGTGCAGATGTATAACAATCAGTTCCCCAAGTATGAGCCTGAGCCCTTCTTAGAAACAGATATCGAACCACACGTCACTTCAGATGATGGCCCTATCATGTCTTCTTGGGTTTGTAGAGCTGCAATGCAACGATCTGTCGCCAAGCTTTGCTATCATGCTGGGTTTGAAGAATTGCAGCCGTCTGCTTTAGATGTTATAACTGATATTGCTGGAGATTTCTTTGGCAAAATTGTCAAAACCTTTGGTGTTTATCGAGAAGCGCATAAAGTCCCTGCTGCACCTGGCACTGGAAGTAAGTGGCAAGAACGTTATACCAACGAAGAAGTCGTCTTGCATAGTTTGGGTGAAAATGGTATGGATATAGAAGCCTTGGAAAGCTACGTGAAAGATGATGTGGAGCGTCTCGGAACCAAACTTTCGGTCATGCATGAACGCATGAAGGCTCATCTTACAGATCTACTCAGACCCGCTCTGCAAGATAATAGCCAAGATGGATCCGGTGCATTCAACGAAGGCAGTGAGCAATTTGTCGGTGGTGATTTCGCAGCAGAACTGGGCGAGGATTACTTCGGTTTCAAGGCTCTTGGTTTGGATAGTGAATTCTCAATGACGAGTCTTGGCGTACCACTCCATCTCCTTCATACGAGAGTTCGTAGTGCCTACCAAGGACCCACCGCAGCAGCGCCCCAAGCCGAAATATTCGCACAACTCGAACCTTTACCACCTATTACAAAGGAAAGCATCACTAGTCAGATCGGCTTGGTCAAGAATTTCTTCCTCGCTAAGTTACATGCGAATGATGATGAACCGCTACTAGAAGACGAGGAACTGACTGGGAAACAAAAGCCCACTCGACCACGTCTGGGCCCGACGGGTAAAATTACAAGCCCAAGAAAGAGACCTCTCAAAGAACAGAGCGGTAACGCGAAGAAGAAGAAGAAATTGGATAATGGAGCAGCAGTCGATTCGCAGTTGTCGATTAAGACGGGTGGAAGTGGAAGTCCGCAAAAGGGTAAGGGTGAGAAGGGCAAATCAGGATTGCCAAATGGAAATGCGGGGAGCGTGGAGGAGAGTATGGATGGGAATAGTCCGGTGGAAAAAGATGATGGGGCGACGATTCCAATGAGCCCGGAGAGTATTGGGGAGAGGTAATGGGGTTATGTGGGGGGAGGATGGGCTATATAAAAAAATTTGGGTGGTTGGTTGGTTGTATTGTGCTTTGCGTATGCATGATGGTGGTGTTGCTGGGGGTGGCTATTTCTGGGAGGGGGAGAGTAGAGCTGGATGGGATGAATATGATGAGATGTGCACATTCACGATCCTATATTTTCCTTCGAATCAGATCGAGGAAAGTAAAGGAACACGGGAAAGACAAGAGTGAAATGTGAAGTGTGCTCGCTGGTTGATACCACTCACAGAAAACGACCCGAGCATCAAGCATTCGGCATCATGGATAGGAATGGGCGGACAGTGTGATAGCAGAAAGAAAGAACTCAATATACTAGTACATATGGGAAAGGGATGGATGGGTGGGCGGATGGGCGGTCTTTTCCAACGGTACCAGCTGGCTCCACATAGGAGATGATCATCTGGGTAGGATAGGATAGGATAGGATAGGGTATGGTGGGAAACTTTGATATCACCATGAATTTTAAGAGAGCGCGCCGAGCAATTCGAGCAGATCAATTCAGTTAATTAGTTCGTGTTATATGTATTAAGAATTATCCCCTTTTTTTTCTCATTGCATGGTGTTTTTTGTTGTCTATTGCTTTTTGCGTCTTGCTTCTTGCGTTTTGTGTCTTGTGTCTTGAGTCTTGAGTCTTGAGTTTGAGTTTGATGGGTAGAGTTGGGTTGGGTTGGGTAGGGTAGGGTAGGGGCGCTTGGGCTTGAATAGGCAGACAGGTAGATAGGGATGGATTGGGATGGGATGGGATGGGGATAAAGAGTTTTCGCTTGGACGGGTGTGATATTTGATGTTCATTTTTTTGGTAAACAACGAAGGGAGGAAGTGGTTAGGTGGATGATCAGAATCTTTTCTTGTTGGGCATTTACATTCGTTCTTTTGTTCGTTCGTTCGTTCGTTCGTTTTTGGGAGTGCTGCGTGCATGTGTGCATGTGTGGTGAATAGGATGGAATGGGATGGGATAGGATGGGATAGAATGTGCATATTTGGGAACTTTTCTTCCTGGGATAAGGAGATGAGAGGATGATTTATGATTATGGGATGTCTGGATGGGGTTTCTGGGTTGTATGTTAGGTAGTAGGTGAGGATGTTGGTTAGTAGATTGGATTGGATTGGATTGGATTGGATTGGAGAGGGAGAGGGAGAGGGAGAGGGAGAGGGAGAGGGAGAGGGAGAGGGAAAAGAGGAAAAGCATATACGAATGATATTTATTTTTATATTCAAGAATCAAGATAGATGATGCGATGCGAAGTTATGCGAAATTATGGATTGGGATGGGGATGGGGATGGGGATGGGGATGCCCGAATAAGTCAAATTTGTATTCTAGAGGAGAGGGCAGATGGAGTTTGATATTTCCCCGGGGGAGGGGTTCGAGATTCGAGATTCGATACTTGAGTAGAAGTCTAGAAAGGGAGTGTGTGTGGACTGGACTGATGAGCACCACTTTGACTGGGAATGGAGCCATTAAGGAAAATTATGTGGATATTTATACTGTTATATGATATTATTAGAGTTTGAGGTGTGATTGTGTGACTGTGTGACTGTGGAATACCTAGATGACTTTGAAAACGCTTCCAGAGAGAGCTTTGTTTACAAGATTGAGATTCAAGCATCGATCCCAATGAGCTCTTAGCCTACATATCCACATGGGACTAGCTTGGTACTTTGTATCAAAATCAAGAGGTCTTTGTGCTGATCATGAATACGCGGGAAGAGAATGAAATCTTGTATGGTCAAAGTCACTTCTTGCTCGCTCTACTATGAATACGTCATACGCATATCTAGTGCGTAGGAAACGTAGTAAATGGATATCTAACGCCCTTGGCCATGCAAATGCTCCGGTACATACATACTTTTGTGTGTATATGTTATACATCCCTGATGATATTAACGCCCGCCTGCCTCACTTTTGCTTGATTTCTTTAAAGTACTTTTAATGTATGTTTGCTAGCTGGTGAGGATTTAGGCTGCGGCTTGGGGCTGGGCCCCTTGGGTCTCGGATTGGAGTTTTATTATCTGAGGCAGTGTTAGTTGGGGTTTGGGGGGAGTGGAAGGGGAACATGCCTCCATCTTCAAACCGTCACATTTATCTTGTACATCTTTGATAGCTTGTTCGACTCGTTTTCTACACAGGCGAGAGACAAAAAGTATTAGAAATTTGTTCATTCTCAAATTCATCTGATTGCTCCGAAACTCCATTTCGAAAGTCCCATAAGTAGAACATCCAATAGTGTTGCAGAGGAAAGTATAGAATGTAAAGTGTAGAAAGAAGAGATAAGGTACGCACATTTCCTTCTCGATAAATTCCAATCTTCCGTCAACAGCCATGACAGCTTCGGTTTTATCTTGCTTAAGGAGGACCGGGCCGACGAGCTTGTAGATGTTGGAGTCGGAGGAGAGGGCGGAGAATTCCTGAGGGCAGCGGGGTCAGTGCGATTCTGGGATTGGAATTGAGAGAAGGTTGGGGAATGGAAAGGTGTGTCAAGTGAATGGGAATGAGAGGAAGGAGAGCTGTACTTTTTGAACGCTCTTGTTTTCTTGTTGTTGGGATTCCAGCTTTTGGCGGGAAGAAATGGAGCTTTGAAGATCTGGGGGAGGTTAATATATGGCGGGAAGAAGTAAAGGAGAGGAGAGGTGAAAATGACCTGTTTGGAGTTTTTGGTATTCCTCTGTGAGAGCTTGGAGACGCTGCTGCTGTTCTGCCATGGTGAGGATGTGAGGGTATTTGATATCTGGTCTGGAGCTTAGAGGAGTTGAGTAGGCTGATTATACTCTGCGAAGATTACTTTTTCTGTGCGAGGAAAGCTGCAAATTATACCAATAGATTGCGATTATGAGCGCTACAAATCGACCGTCTTGTAATGCAGTCGTAGAGAATTAAAATAATTTGTCTGTAAATAATATTCTAATATCGAAATTTCGTAAGTTTCTCTTATCCAGTATCAAATTATTGAGATGATGTCTAGCGCAATCGCGGGGCAACCAAAACACCGCCAAGCTCACAAGCTCAAGCGACAACCTAGACTTTCGAATTCTCAATCCCCTCCACAGATTCATACCCCAAGATACATAGGACGAGAGTACCGGGCGCATAGAGAATTAATATACTGGTTCTGTCTGTTAATATTCGTTCCTACAGCAGTCCCACAGAGTTTAATTTGTGCTCGCTTTGTTGACCAAGGTTATCATCGTCATTCTACCAAATTCGAGACTTGTTCAAGTACAAGTACAACGACATTCAAATCAAACGTCAATCTTGGTGTCCTTTGACAAGAAAGAGGAGCGCCGTGTAAACAATCGCCTGGAGTTTCATTACTATCCAAGCAAGCTTCTGTATCTAGACATCAACATCAACACTCGCAAACCCCACCCTCAAGATGTCGAACACCGATTTCCTTGGGCGAGCCATAGACGTGGTTAAGAAAGCCATCGAAGCCGACACCGCAGCGGAATATGATAAAGCATATCAACTCTACTACCAATCTCTTGAACTCTTCATGCTCGCTCTCAAATGGGAGAAGAATGCCAAATCCAAGGAAATGATCCGCGCCAAAGCCGGCGAATACATGGAACGAGCCGAAAAATTAAAAACACATCTTGCAGATGCGGAAGGCAAACGAAAGAAACCCAGTATGATGGGAGCGAATGGGAGCTCGGCGGGAGGAAAGGCAAATGAAGAGGAAGGGGATCCAGAGAGTAAAAAGTTGAGAAATGCATTGCAAGGAGCAATTCTACAGGATAAACCAAATATCAAGTGGGAGGATGTAGCGGGTTTGGAGGCCGCCAAGGAGGCGCTTAAGGAGGCTGTCATTTTGCCAATTAAGTTTCCGCATTTGTTCACGGGAAAAAGACAACCTTGGAAGGGTATTCTGCTTTATGGACCACCGGGAACAGGAAAGAGTCATTTGGCCAAGGCGGTAGCTACGGAAGCAAACAGTACGTTCTTCAGTGTGAGCAGTTCCGATTTGGTCAGTAAGTGGATGGGAGAGAGTGAAAGGTACGTTTCTCAAATTTGTATCATGGAGCTATATGCATTTCTGACAATTCAATAGATTAGTCAAACAACTATTTACCATGGCCCGCGAAAACAAACCCTCTATCATCTTCATCGACGAAGTAGATGCTCTTTGCGGACCCAGAGGAGAAGGAGAATCAGAAGCCTCGAGACGTATCAAAACCGAAATGCTTGTCCAAATGGACGGTGTAGGAAGAGACAGCCGAGGCGTATTAGTCCTAGGTGCTACCAATATCCCCTGGCAACTAGATGCTGCCATTCGACGTCGTTTCCAACGTCGAGTTCATATTTCCCTTCCAGATTTACCCGCACGAACTAAAATGTTCGAGATCAGTGTCGGAACTACTCCTTGTGAATTGGTGGCCTCTGATTATAGAAAGCTGGGAGAACTGAGTGAGGGGTACTCGGGAAGTGATATCAGTATTGCGGTTCAAGATGCTTTGATGCAACCTGTACGGAAAATCCAAACCGCTACACATTATAAAAAGGTAAAGTTTTCAATATCACCCAGTGATCTCCTCTCTCAATAGAAGAAGATTTGACTAACTCCACGAAAGGTCATGTCCGATGGAATAGAAAAACTAACTCCCTGCTCACCCGGCGATGCAGGCGCCATGGAAATGTCCTGGACGGCAGTCGATTCGGATAAGCTTCTCGAGCCACCTCTCCAAGTAAAAGATTTCATCAAAGCTATCAAGGGGGCTAGACCTACCGTTTCTCAAGAAGATATCCAAAGGAGCACAGATTGGACCAATGAGTTTGGTAGTGAAGGTGCTTGATTATGTTTTGCCTTGATACTTAGTAATAGCGAGAAAAGAAAACATAGCTACGGGGAGTGGTTGGGGGAGAGGAGTATGGGACGGGGTATGATGGCGAAGGCGGCGTTTATAAATGGATAGCGTTCTAAACTTAAACGAGCGCCCGGCACAAGTCGATTTAAATGAATGCTACGAGTTAAGAAAGGCGAAGAGCTACAAGAATACAATTACATATATGTCAATAATGTCAAGCAAGTCTCACAGATTGATAATTCAATATTAAGTCCAGGTCAAATGGAAAAAGAGAGATCATCCGTAGAAGTAATGAGTTATATGCTTTTTTCCAATTTTATGCACCTCATAGTGTCTAGCCAAGCCATATAAAATACCACCACAAGCCAGAGCTTCTACGGTAAGATTGTTAACAAAAAAGTAGTCCTCAACGCCCATAATAACACAGCTATACTCCGCCATTGATGACCCAGCTGCCCGAAATTTACAAGATGAGATGATAGGAGAAAAAGAGAAAAGGAGAAGGACGTCTAGACCATGTTTAAAATGATGAAGGCGACATTTATTCCGCCTTGCTCTTCTTCTTCTTTTTCTTCTCGCCCTCTTCTTCTCCGTTGGCTTCGCTGTGTCTACGCTTTTTGTCCTTCTTCTCACTCTTTTCGCTCTTGTCTTTCTTTTCCTTCTTCTCTTTCTTGTCTTTGGATTTCTTCTCTTGCTTGGAGACGGAGGTTGGGGCGATGTCAGCCATTTCGGTATCTTCGGCGGTTGGGTCTTCAACGTTGATGTCACCGAGAACAGCATCCATTGCTTTTTTCTATCAAAATATGTTAGTCTCTAGATCACGATTGGGAATTTTTCGGAGTCCTTACCATAGCATCTTGGTTCTTTGTTGGTGCGGTACCAGTAGCGTAGAAATCTAATCTTTCTTCGACTTGGGCTCTCAAAGCCTCACCGAATTTGTTGGTTGGTGCCTCAGAGAAGTTATCGATTCTGCTTGCAATACTGCACTTGTTGGCCAAAAATCTGGAGATACGTCCCTTGTTCTTTGCGCCTGCACGACCAATGAAGCTGGAGTGGTAAATCAATCCATATTTAGGTGTGTTACCCTTGGTCTTGAGTGCTCTGAACAAGGCCTTCTCAGCACCGAGAATTTGGACAGTGGAGGCTGGGTATTTGGAAAGGTTGGTAAGGGAACCGGCGTGAGAGATAAGTCTGGCAGCAACAACTTCACCGATCAAAGCGGCCAAGTTAGGTGCAACAATTGCCATTTTGTCGGTCAAGTATTGGAAAAGGGACCTTCTGTATTCGGCGAGCTTGACGACACGGTTTGCAAATGCGGAAACATTCTCCATATCGTTGACTGAAATATCTTGACCCATGGAAACCTTTGCAGCATCAATGATCGATTGCGCCTTATCTCCATCATCGTCAACAAGGGCGGCAATATCGTGTAAATCTTCGTCGGTCAAGTTCTTCTTGTTACCAATTGCCAAAGCAAGTTTGGCATATGTGTGGTTATCCGAGACGAGTCGGACAAGTTCTGGGAAGTGCCATCCGTACCATTCACGGACACGCATGGAGAAAGTGTTAACAGCCTTGTCGAGGTGATCCAAAGTAGCGATAGCTTGGATAATGTGGTTATCGTTCTTCTGGACTGAGAACTTAACCTTAGCGCGCGAATATGCGTGTCCAAGACCCAATTGAGCTCTCTCGACATCACCCTCTTGTAAACCCTTCAACAACTTTGGTGCGTGCAATCGCAATCCTCTGAGTAAGTCTGCGACAACCTCGGAAGTTTCACCAGTCTCACAAGAAACACCCGGGAATTCCTCCTTGATGCTACCAGCCAAAGTCTTGTCGGAAACACCGAGAATGGTCTTCTTCTTCTTCGATGGCTTTGGCATGTTCAATTCCAAGTTCGACTTCAAGTAATCGGAAAGTACACCCTCGGAGATCATGTTAATATTTTCGAGCGCCTCAGCAGCATTTCTAGAGTAATTGTCAATTCAGACTCTCCGCTCTGCAAAGCATTGAATAGCTAACCTGTATGGCGCAAAATTGACAAGCTTGACCATTTTGCCAAATTTCGCAAGATCTTGACCTGCATCTTGAACTTCCTTCAATCGATTGCCAATTGTGTCAGCTTGGTGCACAACCTGAAAGATTGCGAAACCAGTGGCCGACTCATGGAGAAGATAATCAACGGCAGACATCTTGTCGATATAATGTTGTCGTTGTTGGTGGTTGACTTGTTGGGTTGAAAGTTAAGCTTCCACAAATTTTCAGAAGCTCCTAGGATTATTTTTTTCGTCGTGGGATGCCCGTGAAATGCGCTAGGCTCAAAAAATTCCCAGTAGTTTTTGCCGATTTGTCACGTGCCGTGATTCGCTTGGTCTTTACACTTTCAGGCGAACTAGGTACCCAGGTACGAACTGGAATCATACTTCACATGGATGCTCCAACACACCCAAAACTCAATCACTTACTTCGACGGCAACTACTAGGTAATCACATACGATAACGATAAAGTTATTTGTAAATATTCTTTATTGACGTGTTACACTTGAGGCTTCTTGCTCGTCCACGGCCGCCGCAGATTGAATTGCAGCAATTCCAAGCTTCCAACCATCAACATCGATTTACTCAGCCTGCCATTCACGACCATCTCTTGAGAAACTAGAGTAACTTTTGTCAAGGTAAGGTCCCATCCAAAGCACACAATATCTAGCGGAGATATATTTGATTCCCATCAGAGCTTTGGAATGCTTCGACAGTTTTATTTTGAACACTTTCATGGGGACTCTTTGATTGAATTCGGTGTCAAGCATAGTTTGATGTACCACAGTAACGCCCATAACCAAGATGGTTTGATAATTCGTTAAGTATACAGCTTTGGAAGCTCCTTGCTCAATACGCTTTGCTTTCTTTTCTTCTTTGTGTCAATTTGCTCCTTTTGAGATGGTAGCTTTCTAGTAGATACCCTTACCAAAAGACACCAATCAGAATCGATTTCGTGGAAGCTTGTTTCACCTTTTGCCAGAGTTGTGCCATTTGATGCAGTAGCTCACTCTCGCGTGTAATTCCTTGTTGCTGCAGTAAAACCTCTCTATCAGGATCCCCGACATAAGGATCATCTCTTTATAAGGATATATTTTTCGGTCCCCAAGAAATTTAGGTTTGAAAATAGTTGTATTCGCTTCTTCGTCGTCAAGATGGATTCCTACTCCTCTCAAAGCACTCTCATGCCCAGATAATGTCAATATATTTGATAACCAAAGATGAAGAACAAATGCAAGTGGGATAGCAGCAATACTGTCAATTCAAACCATGGAGGCAAGCATCATGAGATAATCATGCTTCACTTAATTGTTTTCATTTGTTATGTGAATCGTATTTCAGTCGCATCTCCTATTAATTATACCACATACATATCTTGAATTCTGTACTAACACGAAATTGATAGATTCTCAAATCGTTGTTGGTGATGAAATGACGAGCAACCAAGCTATTCCTCAATGCAACAAACCTATGCAAAATCTCACTCCCGACCTTTGCCATAGCTCTGTCCTGGTTGTCAACCGTCCTCCCGCTACAAATGCCATCCAGGATGTTCAGCCAGGCCCTGTTGACAATCCAAACACCATTCAAGAGTCCCTGCAACACATGAGGATTATGCCAGCTAATACGAATATGGAAAAAACCCTTTCGCCGGTCACACTCGAACACAGGACAGAGACGGAACGCGTTTTCACCATTTTCTCTTCCCTCCCTAAGGAAGTACAGCTCCAAATATGGAAAGAAGCAATCCTCCAAGATGACCTCTGCCATGTCACCGAAGTGTTCTACGTTTCAGATTCAAATACGACACAACCAAATCCTCGTTTCGTTCCAAACAGACAACCTTCTCCCCTCTTTTTTACCTGTCGAGCCTCACGTGAAGTGGCCCTTCAAAAATTCAACACTCTTTTTTTGCAATACGGATACAAAGACCTCCGAGTTCCATCTATACCTGTCTACTCTCGGTGCTTTGATGTCATTTATCTTCAATACAAGTCTGTAACCAATCGCTCCCGCGACTTCACACAAAATGTTCTTGATGCACCATATATTGTCCTCAATGCCGTCAATCAAGGTATCACGAAGCTTGCGGTCAATCTATGTTATTGGTCCTGTCAGGCTTTGCTTCGAGAATTCGATATCTTCAAGAAGCTCGATCATTTATATATTGTGGTTGAAGATCCGGACGGGGCTGAGCCGCATCGTTACAACACAGGTTATGTTCCTAAAGGAAGACGCTTGCGTATGTGCAAAGAGCTTCCGGAGTCTAGGAATATTTCCTTGGAGGAAAGTCAGATACTTCCTACGCTGAAACAAATCTTTGCACATATGCAAAAGGACGACCCAGAATGGGTACCGCCAACTGTGGAGGTGGTGGGCATGAGGGCATTGTAGAATAGTAATGGAGAGGCGTTAACTGGATAATTTACGATAGGCATATGGGTCCAACGATGGGCGTGCTCTGGGGGAAGAAAGTACCAAGTTCAACATTTGGGAACAGCGATTTACCAATCGACGATGATGCATTTTCAAATTATGCCGACATAGGAAAAAATCCAAGTGTAATTTTAATCAGAGGATTTAATTTTTGATTATTCGATCATATCTATGCTGGTGATGCAATGTCTCGAATATCCAGATTCTGAATGTGCGTTCTGCGGAAAGAATCTTCTCATGTTTTGGGTGGGGACCTTCATCACAACAAGAACTGTTGGATACTTAGATAAGAAACGATAAGTGTCACAAGCAAGTGAAGGCACAGTAGTTGGTATCATACCTCGATGTTCATCCGTCTACTTCAAGTGAGGAAATGAATGGTCTATATGAATGACCATACATGCATTGATGGTGTGGTGTTCTGAAACTTGCATTTGATGCTTCCTCCAAGCATGGCATTGATCTGCGTATGGTTGCAAACTGAGACAAAGTATAGGCTCTCTCCCAACTATATAGAAGCAACAATTCTTTATAATAGTCCTCCCTCTACAAATATATCCGGAACCAACGCATTCATCTTATGGGAATATTCGAAAGCCTTAGTGTAACTCAATCTCATGGATGAAGCAACATGCTGACCATGAAAGAAAAGTGACGGGGAGCTTGATTTTATTCATCATAGATAATGTAGCAGCGGCTCCATGCAGATGAACTACCAAGAATAAAGGATAATATGAAGTCGCACGTCGAAACTAATGCAAGCTCCCGAGATCCCTGTAGGTTCAAATTCCCGCCCGCATTTTTTCAATTATTGGACTACTTATGGTCGATGGCGCACCTCCTAGATGCTTGGTAGATTCACACCGCCGCCATATCAAACACAAAGTCGTCAAAATTCGACACCTTCTCACACTTGCAATGTCCTCGAGAAATACACGCACTCCTCGGTCTCTTGTCTCGATGACCACGATTTCGAGATAGAAATGCAGCAGGTCGGAAAATTTTGAATGTTACCTGCGCACCCAATAAAACTCAAGGATCAGCTCCCGGCATCACGCAGATCTCCCGTGGGTTGGAGGACTTCAAACTAGAAGTGGGTCGTCTTGTACGGGTTACTAGACAATTGAGTGGAAGATACAGTGGGTTGTTCGTCGACGATCAGGCTTTGCAGGCTTTCTATGATACCTGCAAAGAACTCGATGTTTCACCAGTTGGGATCTTGGAGAAGTTCCACGCGATTTTTCCGGATTGGGGAGGGGGTGGTGTGAAATGATGCATAGTCAGATCCATGGGTCTCGCGTATCTGAGTTGAGAAAGGACTGGTGTGTGATGGGTTTGAAGAATAGTGGAGGAAAGGTATTCTATTCTATGATTGGGGTTTGAACAATGGAAGTTATATGTCGGTTTTATGAAGAGACTGATCCCAAATTTAGGGGTATTGTAGTCATCGATTCCAAGAATAATGAACCACTCTGACGTTATGGCTACTACATTATGGAAATAATGCTTGAGCATGATGAGATATCCAATGTAGACTCCCAAGATTCCTGTACCTTCTATATCCCTATCTGAATGAAGCCACTGCTTGCTTCCCAAATTTCACGTTCCACTCACAAAACTTCAGTCATATTTCACCGCTTTCGCTATCGTCCGTAACATCTTCAGCCACCATCATTCACTATATCCCCTCTCAAATATATACCAAAACAATCTCTCTTCTCACAACAATTCATCGTACGACCTGGCGCAGTGGCCAATACGACTGTCCACTGCGCTTTAACCACCGCGAGGTGGGTGAGTGTTAAAACGGAATACGGTAAAAGTGACCCCGGAACGAAGGGTTCATGATCGGAAAAAAATTCCTGCCAACTCGGGAATTTTCCAGACCCTGTCTATCATAAAATAGCCAGCAAGGTCTGGTTTTTGCACTTTTGCTCACCTGAAAACTTTTGGGGGTTGGTTGCTGAAGGAGCGCAGGAGTGAATTTAAAGTGGAACTTGTGCTATGAGTCTCGTTGTCGCATGTCAGTTACTTTGATCAGAATATATGATTTGTAGGTGATGGATGTATTTATTGCTTGGAAAATGGGATACATCCAAAGCTGATCACCAGTGTCTAAGGCCGAGATATTGGGTGCAAGTGACTTAATTACTTTTGGTGGTTTGAGTTTGGCGTCGTGGATTATTAATGTGTTGATATCCTTTCGAAATAATGACCGGTATGCGTTATGTTGTCCTGGGTGCGAACGACGTCCAGTCTAGCTTCACTTATTACGTTCTACTAGGGGAACTTCAGCATCTCGAATTGCGCATGTCATTCCTTTTCAAATTCAATGTTCTAATCTCCTGAACCTCTGTGGAAGCGCAAATGCAGAATCAACACCAGTGATAGCTTTTTGTTCATCAATCTTAAAATGCCACATAATTCGCCTATGGTTCTTCTATTTCACTATGCAGCTAGCAAGAGATATAAACAGAGATGGCAATGAAATTACAGTAGCTTTATCGCTGTTGACATCCAACAAACTTAGCCTAGACCTTTCGAGTTCTGTACAGCTAAGCGTGGCCGTTTCATGGAATCAAAACATAAGACATCGGAAAGTGTGCGCTTGCCAACTTTCCCACAACACTAGCAAATGACTTTTGCTTCCGTTTTCGTATCTGAAACTTGCAGGAATACTCAGACTCTCCATTGGATATACTTGTAATAGAGCATAACATACGTTCAAGGTATGGTGCGAGTCAATTTGAGTAAGTACAAGATAAGATTCCTCGACAAAATACCTGCATAGTAATCTGCCGAAGGGTCAGGTATTCCCATGTAACAAGTTTCCAAAACTCTTGGTGTGTCGGAGCATAAGCCACAGCATATAAATGATCAAAAACTAATTCTTAGGAAATGCAGACACGCTTCTGTCACACTCTACTGTTCAGGTGGTGTTGAACGGGAGGGGTTGCCTGTTCTCAGCGAGGTTTGCCCCTGTTCCTTTGCATTCTGATATGATCTCTCATTTCTCAATCAACTCGTTGATCAAATATTCCCTTTGATAAATATCCCCTCCCCTCCCCTCCATGAGCTTTTGGGGGTGTGCTCTTTGAGCTGCTGAGTGAATAAGAGCTCGTTTCGCATCGCACTCCACTTTTGATGTTAAATCCGACGCACCATGATTCGCTAGACTACTTTTCACCATATTAAATTAGTCAACTCTTGAAATCTTATCAGATCATTTCTCAGATCTAATCTGATCCTCGGGATTCCCTCGTTACACCAGCATATGCATCTTGTTAAACTTCCACATGAATACCACTTTATCACATCACCTTCTCACGGAATGGATACACAGCACTGTTCGAAATGTTGTTGTTCATACAAGCTCACAACTATCGACGACGGACGATTCTGAGGAGAAGCCGGATGAGAATAAATTCCAGAAATTGATCGATGGAGCGCTGTATAATGAGAAACTTATCAATACTTATCCTTGGGTTATTTTAGGGTTTGTATTGGTTCTTTCGGGTATACACTGGACGGAGAAGATTATACGATGGAGAAGAAGGGCTTTATGGAAGAGAGGGGAGAGATATCCATACGATTTACTTGACGATGGACCATCGAAGACAATTCGAGAGGAGGCGACAGACTATGGCGGTGCTAGCTCGTCCGGGAGCAGTACATTTGCATCAAACACCCCTTCCATTAAACACGATGACGGGGGAGAACGCATGCCTCTATTATCCGGAAGCCGTTTTCCCAATAGCACCTCGTCGAATCGAATCACCATCATCTCCCGCATCAAAGCGTTCCTCGTATACCAACCTCGACCAATCCCCTATTTCCACAAAGTTCTCCCTTCAAACGGCTCTTCGATATTCATCATGTCGTTTCTTGCCCTCAATATCTTCTACACCTTCTACAACATCTCATTCACATCGTTCGAAGCCTCCGTGCTTGGAGACCGAGCAGGCCTAATATTCGGTGTCAATCTACCGCTTCTATACATCCTCGGTGCAAAGAATCAACCACTTAAAGTTCTAACAGGTGTTTCCTACGAATCTCTAAATATTATTCATCGGCGGCTTGGAGAACTAATTATGGTTGCTGCGCTCATTCATGCTGGCGCTATGTTCGTGATGTGGTATGTGATTTTGGTACCATTTAGTGGCTGGACAATTTGGGATTATTTATCTCACCCGTGTATCTATTTGGGACTATCAGCTTTATTTACATATAAATCGTTATATGTAACGTCATTAGCATCGTTTCGTCAGCGATGGTACGAGGTGTTTTTGGGATCGCACGTTGTGTTGCAAGCTGGTGCTTTGATCATTTTGTATTTCCACCACAGGGGAACGAGAACTTATGTTGGATGGGCTATTGCAATATTTCTTGTGGATCGCTTGATGTATCGCCTTTGCGCGAAAAGTGTCATGGTTGAGGTAGGGTTTTGCCTCCTCTCCTTCACTTTCCACACAACTAACTCACCTTTACCTAGGCAAAAGTCAGCATCTACCCTGACAACGAAACCCTCCTCATAACCTTTAACCTCCCCAAATCACCCACCACAATATTCTCCCAAACCCTCGGCCACTCGATCTCCTCCGGCTGGAACGCAACCGACCACGTTTTCCTCACCATTCCATCTCTAGGTCGTTCCCACGCACTCCAAGCTCACCCTTTTACCATCGCCTCGCCAGCCCCCTTCCCTCTTCAAAAACCTCCAATCTCACCCTACTAATCCGAGCCCGCTCAGGATTCTCCGCCGATCTCCTTCGTGCCGCCCAACTCAAAGACACACTAAAATGTCGTCTCGACGGTCCATACGGAAGTAGTCATGCTCGTTCTCTTCTTGAAGATTCGGATCTCGCGATATTAGTTGCTGGAGGGAGTGGAATCGCTGTTACGTGGCCAATCATACATCATCTCCTGAATATCTCAAGCGAAGGCGAAGATCCCGAGACTGGAGCACTGACGACTAAGAACAGACAGAGAATTGTAATGATTTGGATTATTCACAAAAGTGCCCATCTTGAATGGATTGATGAGAAGGAGAGGGAAGATTTGGCGAGGAAGGGAGTGGAGATTATTATTCCGGGTGCTACGATAGAGGTTGGGAGACCGGATTTAGATGGGTTGATGGAGGGGGTTGTTCGCGGCTCAAGTAAAGAGATGGAGAAAAAACAGAAGATAGGTGTGGTGGTTAGTGGACCGGATGGATTGAATCGAACAGTAAACAACAAATGCGCGGAATTGGTACGAGCAGGTAGAGATTTAGAAGTTACGATTGAGAAATTTGGATGGTAAACATTGAGACCTTTCTTTCTTGTTTCTTGATTTTTACTCGGGTTGAGTTGGTACATACAGAGCGGTTTTTTCTTGGGTGTTCTGTGGCATTTTGAATTTAGCATTGGCGAGGAGCGTTTACGACGAGATGAGATGAGTTGAGATGAGATTAAGACATATGATACACAGATAGCGATTACATACATCCCGCATACGCGATACCATGCAAATGGAAAGAAAGTACATAGATAGATTTACACAGATAGCAAATACCAAACAGAGCACATATGCTACATGCTCCTCAATTTTCCTTCGATACTCAGAATGATGGTTCATACTATTCATAATCTCAAGCGAGCTCCAATACCACCTCCCCTTTCCCGGCTCCGCTCTATACCATCTAGATTCCATTTTCAAGATTCTGCGAAGCTATAAATCAAATCGTATCAATCGAAATTCTCCTTATTATATAAATTACCCGAAAGAGGTCTTCGTATTGGTAGTCTTGCATGAATACACCATCATAATCCAATATCCAAGTCAAACCCAAATCAACAAACGCAGTATCACATCCCATCACACTTCTATGAAGAAGATACGATTCAAAACTCTACATAAATGCCAAGTGTCATCATCACTCGCAAACAAACAAACAAACATAAAACACCCCAGTGCTAGCAAACCCAACAGTAGTTCCAAACAAGCAGACTATTTGCAGTTGATATCCACTATCAATATCACTACTTGGGAACTCACTCAGCTATTCAGTTATTCACTTCTACAGATTTGAGATAAATTCTAAACTAATCTCACATCCTATATTTCATATTTCATATTTCATATTTCATATCCCAAATCGAAAATTGGACAAACCTCTACTCACCTACATAAAACTCCAATCATTTTTTACTATTGAAAAAAAACGCTCGAACTGCAGTGAGCATTCCAGACGATAAGAAACTCAGAATGGCAGAGTTGTTGGATATTCAAAAACACTAGATGTGGTGCTTTAATCGCTCTCTCTCTCTCTCTCCTCCCCTCTCTCTCTGTATGAGCTCTACCTTCCTCCTCCTATTTAATACATATATATCCACTTTGCCTACTCTCTTCCCACTCTGCCTATTTTCTTCCCTCTTCCTTTTTCCCTCTTCCTTTTTCCCTCTTCCTTTTTCCCTCTTCTCTCTTCCCAATCCTCATCTTCTTCCCCAACCCCAAGTCCCCCAAAGAAAACAGATACACACAGCGGAAGACTTAAGATAAGAAAGAATACACCACTCTCTCTATGTCCACCTCCTCCAACCCCTCCACACATCCTTTTCACTATTACAAACCTACAAACCTACAACTTACCCATCCATGCCACCTAGATCTAGCCAGCAATATCAAATCAAATCACAAAAGCACAATCCATTCCATTTACTTCACCACACAAATCCCCAACTCTCAAAGTCTAAAACCCATTAGTCCCCTCTCGTAAATTTGCTTGTTCTCCTTCACAACCATTCAGCACATTTACATTTACCAGACTACTCGTACTCATACATTAGAGTCATACCAAGTCAATGGTTGGGCGGCATTCAATCGCCGTCCAGTCACACAATCAAACAATCAAAAATCCTCAAAAAGTAAAAACATACCAATACCAAATCCCATATCTAAAGTTCTGTTTCTGTCTGTACTGAACTACCAAAAAGGAAGAAAAAGAAGAAAAACGCAAAAATCGCATCGATGGAGTCTTTCTTCTCCATTCCCTCATTTGTATGCATCCATTTCTCTCCATGCTCCATCCATGACAGTGTCTTTATTTTTCCACGTGTAACATGCATTTCATCCCAATTTCGTTCTCATTTCCATTTCCATTTTCATTCACAACTCAACTGACATCTCAGATGACACCTCAACACCCATTCGCTCAACCACACGCCAACCCATCACAATCAACAACAACTCCCTTCCCAATATATACATCTACTCAGCAATTGGCGCAGGTGCCTTGACACCCTCCTCACTAGGAACCGGAGCTGGAGCAGTGGTTCCACTTGGGATAGTGCCTGCATTAACGTTCTCGGTGTTGATGACATGTTGATCACCATTTGTCGATGCCCACTTAGGAGGTTTAGCCCAAGCAGGATCTGTCCAAGGACCCTCATCACTCAATGCACAACCACCCTTACACTCGCAGCTACCTCCAAAAATCTTCGGTAAGTTCTCCTTGGGGACTTGCGCCAATAATTCCTTTTGATACCCCGATCCCAAAACATGAATCTTTTCAACGGTAATAGGATCCAACCAACCCTTAACAACACCAAAAACGGTGGAGAAACCCCATGGGGCATTGATTAAATACAATTTGCCGAGACGCTCTGGGTAATAGTTTTGGGACATGCCAGAGGCTTGTTTTACGTATGCGTAAACGGAAGGAACCTTGGAGAGTCCAACGCCCTTGAGATCCATAATGGTGCAGCAGGTTTCGAGGAGAGTACCAGCTTTGCGGGAACAGGCTGGGAGACGGGGATCGGCCATTTTCTCGTACTCGACAGCGAGGTTTTGAAGCATACGCTCGGAAGTGGTGATTTTGTACATGGCGTTAAGGTCAATGTTACCCATTTGTTCAATGTAGACTGGACGGCCATCCTATGGGTGGATTATGTTAGATAGTGAACGAACAAATACGAGAGAGGACAATCTCGCAAAGGAAACCAGACAAAGCCAACAAAAGACGTACCTTATCAGTCTTATGATAGTATTGAGGATAGTACTTGAAGACCTCCTCCTTCTCCTTGTAATCAAAGGTACGGACGAGTTCATCAAGACCGAAATCTTTTCTCCACTGCTCTGCATCCACGAACCTATTCTCCAGTATCAGTATTTATCATCCTTCCAACATATATTGAAAATCAAAGGTGTATATATCGAGGGTTCTTACATCTTCTCAGCCAATGTGACGTCGAACTTACGTGCTCGTAGGAATCGAAGCTGCGAAGAAATAACAATTAGCTATATTCGATATGCAATCCCCTTTCGCATCAATCCTTCGCACATCACCAAACACTCAAAACCAAGTAACAAACAGCGACAAGCCCAGAAAATAATCTCGATCATCAAAAACACTAGTAGATTCTCCCCTCTCCCCTCATTCCAAGCATCAACACCAGCACCACGAAAAACAAATGAACAAACAAACAAACATACCAAAGTAAGCGTATCCAATCTCTCCGTCAACCCCGCCGCCTCCAACTTCATCCTCAACTGCTGCACCTGCGCATCCTGTTCTGGGGTAGTGTGTCCAGGGTGACCACTCTGAGCCGTAGGCGACGTGGTTGGGAAATCATAGTGATCGTATTTGGGATCGAGTTTGATTTCGAGATTGGCTGCCATGTTGTCTGATTTCTCACGGTATGCTATCTTAAAAATTCTCAGGGTAATATGTGCGGCGAAGAATAAAAGAAGAAAGGGAAGGTAATGTAATGGGGAGGTGTTGATGTGCGCACAGAGATTCAACTTATTGCCAGGTAAGTTGGCTGAACTAATTATTAGATCCAAGAGGGGCTCTAGCTTTACGAGGCTGGAAATGGTCCCTTCAGATTGTGGTTATATGTCAATTATTACCAGCCTATTCTACATGAAATATATTTATTTCACAATTTGAGATATAAAAAAAAGCCCAAGTTTCACTTCATCATTTTACATCTTCTCATTTGATATGTGGTCGATTTAAAATTTCAATAAATCAACGCAAATACTCAACTTTGCCTTCTTTTTTCCCCTACAAATGGAGTGTACGTATGAGTTCACGATGATTACATCCACCCTGTAAGCGAGTTTGGTAAGGAAAAGTTCCCCTGATCGATCCCCTGATCAGGGGCGTGTATTCAACCCCAAATCGATATTTCTATCCTTCGATATTAAGAAGCCGTTGGGAACAAACAAGATCAAGATTAGATCTTACGAATATCGTAGATTACACGAGCATGCATTTCCAGGGGAGAAGCTAAATTACGTGGGCATTGTACTTACTCTGTACGGAGTATATCTATTGTACCAAAGTTTCTATCAGGAGCCAGAAAACTTGTGTATGATCTATATTGATCAAATATCAACACACCAATAGAATATCAAGAGTTTCATTTCTCTACATCAGATCTCGAAGATCTTTGTTGTTCTTCTCCTTGTATTTGGACCAGAGATGGTTTGGTTTGAGTTCTCCTGAATATCATCGACATCATCGTCATTATCATATCATAAGAAAGCTCCCATCAACATCCCAGAACTTTATGTTTTCATTATTTCTCCTCCAAAGACTCTATCAACCATTAGAACTACCAGTCTTCCCATCCTTTTCCTCTGCAACCTCCGATTCGTTCTTCTCTTTTCTCTTCATCGTAACATCCCAATTGTACACCCTAGCTGTAGCAACCTCCATAGTCTATTCATTAAAAGAGTTTCGTCAGCTTAATCTCTCTCCACTCCGCAACCCTCTCTTTTCCCCAGTCATGGTCTGTGGGTGAAGTGGAGTAAACATACCGTAATCTGTTCTCTCAAGAAATCCAAATCCTCCTCACAATTCGCGAAACTTTGTTTCGCAGCCGCGAGTCGGTTCGAAAGTAATTCCTCCGCCTCATCAATCGGATATGCTAACATCACATTTGCCTGCCATCTTGTCAATACACCTACAACACCTCTTCCCTAAATGTTGAACATACCCCTAACCATAAATAAACCTCCTCCGTAGCCGGAATGTTGGCTTTGGCATATAAAGTATCATTCAACTCAAATGTAGCCTGTATAGGATCCGTACCCTCCTATCAAAAAAATATCAGCACCAATATCTCAAGCCTTCCTCCGCTCACAACATAGTACAAACATACCTTCCTCGTCTTCAGAAACCTCACCGTATCCAGCGTCTTCTGAATATCCGGCATATTGATTTTCAACCCGGCGATTCTCTTTTGTTGATTTACCTCCATGAACTGATATTTCCTAAACAAATTCGAAAGTATGAGCTTCTGATTTCTCGAATCGTCCAATGCCCCAATGCCCCGATCCCCCAAGTCTGAGTCCCTAATGCACACACTCCTCCATGTGCATAAAATATCCAAAAATAGAGTTCCAACCTACGAAATCATCTCCTGGAATCTCTTCAACGTAGGCTCAACATCCGCCCTCGTAGTAACGTAATCCTCGACTCGATCCACGAATGGTGCATATGGAATACCTCGCTCATTTGTGCGGGCGGCATCTTTTCTGAAGGGTTGAGAGTTAGCTAGTTTTCTGCGAATTTTAAGAACCTCTTCTCTGCGAATGGTAGTGAACTCTTCCCACAAACTCCAGTAAGCTCCCCAGACCCCTCTCCTCTGCAGACCAAATTATATACTTCACACAGCCATCCGCAACTCGCCATTCTGCGACCTGGGGAACGCTTTTGAATGGATAGACTATAGGAACCTCTCTTCCTACAGAATTGCAGAACTGGGCAGGTTCATTTACAAATGCAGATTCTTCACTTACTTAGTATCTGTATCCGCCATATTTGGCGTCTGCGAAACAAAAATATTTATGATATTCAAAATTATCGAAACTGCCCACTACAACATATAGGTAAAGTTCTCGCTTATGTAATACTGTGGTGCTTGCATCATCTTCACCCCCGCCAGAGATGCAATTGTCACGCTTTGTGTGGTTTACAATCTTCATCGTTGTAAGTTTTTCATAGCGTTCATTAAATAAAGTAATAAATTACATCATATTCATTCACAGTCAAAACAATCTCGCAAAGAACAATATTTTTCATCGGTATATTTGTATTTAGTACCGTACTAGTAGATGTGTAGACATCAAAAACTAATGTGATAATCACCAATGATCAAATATAGGCATTCTGACCAAGGAAAAGTAACCCTCCGTCCCAAAGAGAAAACCATGCATAATAGTTATTATTAGAGAAATGAGAACTCCCTATTCTACACACTAAAAGGAAATTCCCATCGCCGATTTCCATCCTCGAGTTACTCGAGGGTATTCAATTTGTTACAACTTTAGCACTTTGGCTTGATGGAAGTCCATTTATGCCTTGGCCTTAGCAAGACCAACAGTATTCTTACCAAGGTCATAGACGGAGTAGTATCTTCGAAGGAAAGCATCACCCAAGATAGCAAGAGGTCCAACTGGCTCTGGGAAGTCCATACCCTAGTAGATTGTTAGCAGACATTCATGAGTAGAATCAGTGTCAAAGGAAAACTTACCATGAAGGTGGAGATACAAGAGTCTTGAACTTCGAGAATGTAGTCGTAAGGGCCAATAGCGAAATCATGACCGCTGAGGGTGAATGTGAGGTCTGGAAGACTGTCACGCTTGGCACAATCGACAGTGTATTGACCGTTCCATCCCTTCTTAGCACCGATTTCCTTGTTGAGAAGCTCAGCAAGAGTGGTTGGGAGAGCAATGAGAGAAGTTCCAGTGTCAAGTATAACACCAGTGTTATCAAGCTCAGCCTTAGCATCACCAAAGGCGATCGCATCAAGGTCAACCTCCCAGTAAGCCTTGCGTCTCAATGGGAGCTCAGTGATCTTGCCCTCGTAGTGATCCTTGTTGACGCCACCGAAGATAGCCTCGGATGCGTCAGTCTCATCATTGGAACCCAAGTAGAAGGCAAAAACTGGCTCGTCCAAAAGACCTTGGTCGATCATGCTATAGAAAGGTGGGACGATACTGTTTACGGAGATGGTATCATAACCAAGACCCAAGATACCGTCAAATCTACCGAAGGCAAATGCAAGACCTGGCTCTTCAGTAGCTTCGGCGAAGACTTGGTCCTTGATCTTGAGATCACCAATGGACATGACGTCCTTGGAGGTGAAACCACTCAAGCTTCCAGAGCCGTATCGGATCTCGAATGAAGTTCCATTTGCCTTGTAGGTAGATGATGAGGAGGAGTCGTACTTTGTGTGAAGGTAGCATGCGATCGAACCGCACTGGGAAGATGGAACCCAAAGGTTGGAACTTCCGGTGTCAAGGACGACCTTGAATGTTTGTGGTGGTGTACCGATAGTAATTTCTGAGAAGTCTATTGGAAAGTTAGTCTGTGGTTAATGCTTGTTGTTGGTGTATGTTCTTACATTGGGCATTGAGGAAGTTGGAAACTGGAACAGTGTGGTCGCCTGCGTCGTGGACGGAAGTCTCCTTGAACATCTCACTGGCATGAGATTCAGGTCGAACACCCATATACTTTTGACCCAGGTGTTTGGCATGCTCCTGCATGTTGGCAGTAGCAAGTTGCTCACTCAAAGATACCTTCTTGAGAGGCATCTTGTGAACACCGGCGCTCACACTGCCGAGCAGCGATGCTGCGGCGAAAACTGCACCCTTCATGATGTAGATTTAATTCGTATGTATTTTATTGAATTGTATTAATGAATTACGAAAATGAGAATGATATCTTTGATGGAATTGCAAAATGATGATAAAGTAGAAGAGTTGGTTGTTGATAAGAGAAAGGAAGATGGCGGAGATGAAGGTAGAGAGAGAGAGAGAGCTTCAAGGTATTAGCAAGAGCAAAGCAAAGCAAAGCACGGCAGGATGGACGAGCACGAATGAATGACGATAGCGGTCGCCTATTACGGTTGCCTCCACAACCCGACCCACTAACACGCTCAAAAAGTGAGATTTAACCAATGAAAAGTGATCATGAGTCTCGTCGAGTACATTGGCGCAAGACTTAAAATGATTAGATAGATACCGATACCCCGACATTTCGAAAAGGGAATCAATCATACCACAAGAGGTACCATACATAACATACCTTGGTAGCTACAAGTATATATGCCTTGATCTATCAATGTCAGTTTCACCTTGGTGACGGTACGAATACGTGTGACTTTATCTATCTGTATATCTATCTGTATATCTATATCTATCTCTATCTCTATCTCTATCTCTATCTCTATCTCTATCTCTATCTCTATCTATATATCTATCTCTATATCCATCTCATCTATCTCTAATCAAAAGATGCATGGTAATACATCAACATGCTCAACTACCTACTATCTACTCTCTACTCTATCTCCGTATCCAGATACGACCTATAAAAGACGACCTATATAAATATCAAAACACTATATTCCTATATCGTCATAACACCAATCTTCATTACCTACCTACCTACCTACCAACCAAATACCTAAATAACCTTGGAACTATCCGTACCCGTATCCCAATCCCTTAGCTTAAAACTTGATGAAAATCTTATCGTGTCATGTCAGGCACAACGCGAACACTGCTTGTGTGGATCCGGCGCCAACCGCCTTTTCGCCCCAGAATTCAGGAACACAGAAAGTTTGGAGTGGCTTGCCTCGGATTACGAGAATGTGAAGGAGCATCGGAATTGGTTAAGATAAACTACGTACCTAGCCACATGTGATTCATTGTCTCACTTATTAGACACTAGATGGGTACCTAGGTAGATATGGAGATATGGAAAGTAAAGCCGGCCGTGAATGAAAGGAATAAGATTTTGCTCAAGCAAATATTTAATCATGTTATTATTTACCTACCTAGGTACTATTTGACATAATTATCCTGGTCAGATCTTAACCTAAACCCATCCCTCACGCAGTACGTTCAGCGCCCGTAATGTATATCCAGAAGACAGAAATGGTAGGTGGTACAATATCAGTAATGGTTTCCCCCAATGAGCATTCACGTTTTGGTCTCTAATACGTAATACTTCAATACAAAGTGACGATAGAAACAGTTGATTTTCTATCTAGGTATCTCATATGGTCTATTGAATTCGACCTCTAAACTTTTCCCTCATAAACCCCCTGCCACTCCCTGGTATATCATGACGACGTTGAATCAGTCAAAAGAAGTAGCGCCTGCAAATGATGAATCCTAATTGCTTTTTCTTACCCACACCCAAACCATAAACACCATAACCAAATGCCAAATTGTCAAACATTTACTCTCTCCAGCCCTCAACTGGGAGAGGGAAGCTGCTGGCCCACTCAGAAATCTCCTTTCTCAATTCGTTGATCTTCTCAACTTCACCGCCAGCGACCTTAGCCTTGAAGTCCTTAAGCTTGTTGTCACTCTTTGGCAGAGCAGCTTGGACTTCCTTGCAGATCTTGATGCTTTGATCAATGTATGATACAACTCTCTTGAAGTCCTCAGTACCGAATCCACGACTGGTCATAGCTGGGGTACCGATACGGATACCGCAAGGGGTCAAAGCAGACTTGTCACCTGGAATAGAGTTCTTGTTGCAAGCAATGTTGATTTGCTCCAAGACGGCCTCAACACGGGCACCGTCAAGTGCTTGTGCTCTGAGATCGAGGAGAACCATGTGGGAGTCAGTGCCGTCGGCTACGAGCTTGTAGCCCAATTGCTTGAACTCGTTCTCGAGAGCCTTAGCATTGTCAACAACTTGTTGTTGATATTTCTTGAAGTCATCAGTTGTGGCTTGCTTGAGAGCAACAGCAAGGGCTGTGATGGTGTGGTTATGTGGTCCACCCTGGTGACCTGGAAAGACGGAGAAGTTGATTGGGCCTTCGAGATCGTAAAGGGTCTCCTTTCCGGTCTTGGCATCAGTCTTACGGACACCCTTGCGGAAGAAGATCATGGCACCACGAGGACCACGGAGAGACTTGTGGGTTGTGGTAGTAACGATATCAGCATGTTCGAAAGGACTTGGGATGACACCAGCGGCGATCAAACCAGAGATGTGAGCCATATCAACAACGAGGTAAGCACCGACAAGATCAGCGATCTTGCGCATACGGGCGTAATCGATAAGACGGCAGTAAGCAGATGTTCCAGCAACGAGAACCTTTGGTCTGTACATCAAAGCGTTGGCCTCGAGTTGATCGTAATCAATGATACCAGTCTCCAAGTTGACACGGTATGGGAAGGTCTCGAAGTATGTTGATACGGCAGAGATTCTGAAATATTCGTTAATTGGATGAAAATATGAAGAAACGACAAATTTGCAACTTACTTTCTCTGGGGAGTCTGATAACCGTGGGACAAGTGGCCACCGTGTGGAAGATCGAGACCCATAAGTCTGTCATGAGGTCTCATGATAGCTTGGTAAACTTGGAGGTTTGCTGGAGAACCAGACAAACATTGAACATTGACACCCCATTTCTCAGAATCCAAGTTGAATGCCTTGAGAGCACGAGCTTGGCAGGTCAACTCAATAGAGTCAATGTGTTGGTTTCCACCATAGTATCTAGCACCTGGGTATCCCTCAGAGTATTTGTTTGACATGGGTGATCCCAAAGCATCGAAAACGGCACGGGAGGTAACATTCTCGGAGGCAATGAGGATAATCGATTCACGCTGACGTTGGATCTCGAGTTTCTATATACTCTCGTGAGTAATTGGCATAGATGAGGAGATGGATTGAATTACTTACCATGATCTCAGCGATCTCAGGATCAGTCTCAACCAAAGACTTTTCCAACATCTGTGAAACGATGAGTCAGTTAAATTACCCAGCATTTTTGATCGCGGGGCATTTTGAATGGTGACAAACCTCTTGGTGAGACTTTGGGAGGGCGTATGTAGTAGACATGATTGCAAATTGATACTCTTAAATGCAAAGGAGAGTGTAGCTGATTTGTATATTGAAATACTGAAGTGAAGTTTGCTTAAGAAAATAAAAAAAGATGAGAGGTCAGACAAAGAAGTATATACAAAAATTTAGTCAAGCTAAGAGTTGCCCCTCCAGCAAGCTAGCGGGATCGGAGTGGATTTCAGCCAATGAAACCCCACAACCACTATCGACGTGACTCGCTAAAATGAATATCCCGCATTAAAAAAAATGGTGCGGGGGAACAATGGTTAAACCACGGGACAATATATTATATTTTGGTTTGAATGAAGATGAATTGAAAGGTCATTCCTACTATTGATGGAAGAGTTGTATGAAGAATCAGCGTATAATGGTATCTGGATATGCTCTTGAATTTGTAAACTTTACTATCACCAAATCTACGAAGCAGTGGTCATTACACAACTGCCCGGGGCTGCTTGCTTGCTCTCATTGTCAAAGACTCAAGGCACGAAAATTCGACGTCTCCCGTGAAAGGGGCTCGCTTGAAGTATCGAAAAGGAAGTTTGCACGGTGTTTTGCTCATTGCGTGAGATTCATTCATAGTGTTTCTTGAGTCTATTTGATCCCGCGAGCGAGGTATTGCCAGGACTCTAGTTCTCCATTGGTGAGAGCAAGTAGCTTTTAATACACAATATCTCCCTTGTCAAAAATTATCAGTACGAGACTCCAAACGTCTCTTTTTCGCCTCCATTTGCGCCCTTTTCTCCCATTTTGGTTCATCCTTGGTGTTTGCCATACCCGAATCTTCAATGACAAACGTTGCTGTAACTTTCTTCCTCGTACTCTCCGGATGCGAGGACAGGGGTTCTACAGTCGAACCGAGCGTCGCAGGCCGAGACTGCGAGATATCCTTACTCGGACTTGATGACGCCTTCCCCGATGGGAGTATGTGAAGCGGTGAAGCTCTAGTATTAGTGGTAATCTCGGGGCCCGAATCTGAATGCTATTTTACTCGTTGACGTAGTGGCATAGGCTGATCCACGAGCTCAATTGCTTTCTGTTTCTTCAATGTTTTTAGTTCCTGTGATCCTATGGAGGTTGATGGAAACAAACTCTTGTGCTTTTTCTTCTTATCTCCAGAATCCTTGTGCTTCTTTTTCGATGAGCGATCTGCACTTTCTTCAGAGTCTTTGTGGCTCTTCTTCGATTTATCGGATTTTGACTTTTTCACCGGCGGTGCATCTTCCATCTCCACATCTGATGTTTCGTCTTCTGACATTGCGATTTTTTGGAATTTGGGAGCGCGTTCTTCTGACTCGCTTTCATCTTCGTCAGATCCAATGATACCAGGTGCGCTCGCAAAGCCAATTGGTTGGTATCGCGCCTTCAGACCTTTGGGCTGTTGACGAACAGGTCGCTTCGCAGGCACTGTAGCTTGGCTGGAATTCTCCTTAGAAAGGTTAACGACTTGTTGCATATGATATATTTGATCCACGGATTTTTTCTCTGTAATTGTATGTCAGTGTACTGAAGCGCATTAGTAGACGGGGTAGATTACCAATGGAGTAACCATCTTTAGAACTGCTTGGTAACAAGATCTTGGTATACATCTTGTCATCAAGCGGGTCGTGAACGAAACCATAATCGTTGCCATTCTGCGAAAATACTGCTTTGCCCAATTTTGCATCTCGCAGCGACATCTCCGTTACAGAAGCAATGGGTACCGACGCAGGTGCTGTGATATACCAAATTTCTTTTCCCTCCAAATTAGACTTGCCGAACAATTGTGGTGCTTTACTTGAATTCTTTGAAGAAGACTTTTCGAATCCGGGAGGGGGCTTGAAGGGCGCAACTTTCATCGATACTGTTTTGGCATCTTTCCTGATATGATATTAGCAAACAAACCTAGAGTCTGTCAAGCTTGGTAAAACTTACTTAGATGACGATGGCACAACAGACTTCTTTGCATTTGCACTTGATTCATCTTCAGACTCCTTCTCATAGCTCCCGCTTTCACTTTCACTCTCTTCGGAGCTTTCAGCCTCGGAACTGTCGCTACTCTCTGCGGCCTTGCTATTCGATTTGGACTTGGATTTAGATGTAGATTTCACAGCGGGATTCGATGGCAGAGAATCGTTATCGCTATCTGATTCCGATGTGTTTCCCTTCGGCTCGTCATTTTCATTGTCGCTTTCTCCAACAAATTCGGAGCTCTTGAAATCTTGCGGAGATTTGACAATTGGAGTTTTGGCAGCAGTTTTGGCAGAGGATTTCGTGGAGGACTTCGAAGAATCTGCCTTTTTCTTTCGCTCACTAAGAGTTACTTTGGAAGGCCCCATTATGAATGAGTATATTATTGTTTCAGGAGAAATTGATGGAGGATTGGTTCACTGGTAGTTGTAAATAAATGGAAAATCGCATCGAAACTTTTTTTTTGGCAAGGCTCGGCCTTGCTCGGAAAAACATCGGAACTAAGTTTTTTGGTACCCCGAGCTGCTATCAGAACTCTGCTCTCGAATTTATAATTATATTGGAACTTATTTTATTGATGTAAACTATTCAAATAATGTCAAGTAAAAGAAGAAAGTTAGATTCTCCTATAAAACCCCGTAAGTTTATCATATTACAAAAACAAATGCAATTTCACTAACTTCAATATAGAGCTCAGTGCTGTGAGTGCTTTCGCAGCCAGGAAGGCGCATGCTGCTGCTCAGAGCAGTTCACAAAAAGAGACCTCATCTTCTCAAAATCATAATGAAAGAATCTCTCAGCAGGTGACAAATGATGTCCCCTCCAGAAACTCTAACCGTGGAAAACCGAGTACGGTTAAACGTGATCTCCCTTCCATAAACCCAGGCTTTATTGTTGAGGGAAATGGACGAGGAGAAGAGCTAGAAAACCATGTCTTGAGGTGCGTTCTTTACTGCTGCTGGATTGTGCTATTAATCCTCCAAATATTGATTTAAACCAGTTCTGATTCACGTGAGCAGTCACCTGAACTGATTTCAAACCGACCGTCGATGGTGTTGTCTACTTTCAAACCTAGTGACGATAATACCAAGGTGCTCAAAAGCAGAATACTAGTGTTGAAGCTTGCACCTGGTGAGGTCAGTGATTTTATATCCGTTGACTATAAAATCTAACGCTTTATAGAGATTGGTCATTCTGGGCCAATGTAATCTTGAAGTTGTCGAAGGACAAATCACGATCTTAGGGTCTATACTAAGAGCTTCGAAAACTAAACATCCAGTATATGCAGCGACTTCATATTCGTTACCAGTGATTAGATGTCCAGATGGGGAGCTGGACCATGCAGTTCTCCGTCTTCATCAATCTGATTGTGGAATAAGATCGTTGGAATCTCTCTCCCCGCTATTTGGAAAGTTATGGAACGAGGATTCCCGAGCTTTCAAATCAGCGCATAGTCACCTTGCCGCAAAGCTCGGAAAAAGCACATTTCAAATTGTACACAAATCCTATCTACAACCAGTCATCTCACCACCAGAATGGAACAAGACCTTATCCAAATTATCCAGCTCCACCCAAACTACCAACCGAATTATGCTCTGCGGCCCCAAGTCATCCGGAAAATCGACTTTTGCGAAATTGCTTGTAAATCGACTTTTGTCTACAAGTCAGAATGAGAACAGTTCAAATTCAAGAAAGGGTCCTGGTGTTGCACTCCTTGATCTTGATCCAGGGCAGCCGGAATATTCTCATCCTGGTCAAGTATCCCTCATTCATATCAAGGAACCAAATTTTGGTCCCTCAATTACTCATCCTATACCGGGAACTAGCAGTCGTATAATTCGTGCACATGCTCTAGGTGCAGTATCGCCATCTATGGATCCAAGTCTCTACATGTCATGTGCACTCGATTTATTTGCACATTACCGCAATTTAGCCTCTCTTCATTTCAACTGCCCTCTGGTCATCAATACTCCCGGCTGGGTTCTTGGAACAGGGCTTGAAATTCTCGTAGACTTAATAGCCAAGGTGCACCCATCAGAAGTCATATACATGTCTAAAGCAGGTCCTGTCGAAGTGGTCGAAAGTCTTCAAGATGCAGCCAAAACAACACCTCTTGTTACTCTTCCTTCACAAACTACCGATTTCATGACACGCACTTCGGCTCATCTAAGAACTATGCAATCAATGTCATATTTCCATCTAGACCCAGCAAACAAGAAGGAACTAGCATGGAGCGGAACCCCATTATCATCCATTCCTCCTTGGGAAATCAAGTATTCCGGCGAAAATGCCGGTATTCTAGGTATCTTATGCTACGGCGAACAACCACCATCAGATCTCCTTTTTGAAACTATAAATGGCTCTATAATTTCGATAGTTGTCATCGAAGACCCAGCTGCAATACCAGGATACACTTCCACTCAACAAGACAAATCCGAAATCTCAGATCCCAACACTCTCCACGAGTTCAATTCCCCATTAACCCTCGACCTCATCAAGAAGCCCCTCATCCTTCCAACTCCTCACGAAAACCTCCCATATTTCAACCCCCTTAATGCGATAAGTCTCGATCCGGAATTTTCCCATACGATCGGATCAGCTCTCGTTCGTGGAATTGATACTAAACGCCAGCGCTTGCAAATCCTCACTCCGATTCCACAAGTCATGTTTGAGGAAATCAATCAAGAAGGGAAGAAAATCGTGCTAGTAAGTGGAAAGCTAGATACCCCCGGGTGGGCCTACACAGAGGAATTAGTAAGAAGGACATGGATGGAGAAGGAAAAGCGAAGGAAAGAATCAGACGAAGAAGACGAAATAGCAGAATACGACACCGAGGAGGACGAAGATGAAGATGAAGACGAAGACAACGAAGAGAGTAATACAGAAGAATTGGAGATAGATGCCGGGATAGGAATTGCACTCGAGACCCCGGATGTAGTATCCATCGATACGGATACACCGCATCACGCATTCCGCCACATTCCGTGGGTGGAAAAATTGACGGGTTCGCAGGGAAGAGGGATAGGCGCGAGAGTTTGGCGCGTGAGGAGAGATTTGGGGAAGATGGGTGATGCGTAGGGGGTGGGATGGAAGAGATTTAAGTAATGTAATACGAATTTGCATTGGAAAGTTGAGATGTGTGTATGCATGTATGATAGAAACTCGTGATGGTGTATTGAGGATTTATATACATACTTTCGTCTACCTCTCTATCTATATACCTCTTTATCTATGTATATATATATTTATCTCCATATAATACACTCTAGAGTATTACTATACCTATATACTAATTCATTCATCTACCTACCTATTTAATCAATTAATCAATCAAATACTAACACATCAACCCATCACTTTTCATCATTTCATTAATCTATCACCTCTCATGACCTTTCACCTCTCATCCCCTCTCATCCCCTCTCATCAACCCACGACCCCTCCCCTCACCTTCACAACTTCAAATCCAAAACCAAATTCAAATCCAACACCCACCTAGCCACTACCCAGTAATAAGTAGCTACCAAATCCCAACTACATCACATCACCAACACAAGCATAACAACTCTTCTATTTCACTTCATTCCATTCCATTTCACTTTATTCATTCTATTTATTCCATACACAATATATCCATACATAACACGTACAATACCACTTAATACAACCCAACTTCACACAACACGATAAATTTCTACGCCATCCATCCATTTATTCACCCATCCATTCCTTATTTCAAGCTCGACCATACCAGACCATGCAACACCAACCCATATCAAAATCCCTAAAAGACACATCCATCTGTAAATCATAATTTATCGACCCCTCCCAAAACGCCCCAGAAACACCATGCATCTATGCTATGCCATGCTATGCCATGCGTTCAAACCTCCGTTCCATGCATTCAGAAGCATAATATAATATAAGTAAAAAACAATCATCGAGTAGTTGTTTATTTCCCATCTCTCATTATTCTCAAGTTCCCCAACTGCACCCCCTCAAACCACATCTAGAAATATTGCAACTCTCCATTCCCACTGTTCTTTCCCCCATTACTCTTCTGCAACTGCGCCTGATACTGTTGAAACTGCGCTTGCACAAGTTGCTGTGGCGTTTGATAGTTTTTCTGCAACGGAGGGAAATCTTCATACGCAACTGCCGGATTATAAACTGGCGGCGTATTATTTGATGTTCGTTCATTAACATCATCCAAACTCCTATAACCATATCCTCGTCCCTTTCCCTTACCGCCACCTCCTCCACCATTACCATTGCCTCCGCGATTATTACGTCCATAGCCTCCACGTTGATTTCCATTTCCCCTATGATTGCCTCGACCTCCACGACCACCACCATAGTTATTTTCTTGACTTCCTCTCTTGCTTGATGGCCCTTGATAATTTCCACCATATGATCCATTTGTTGGTTTAGGCTCAGGGGAATGCTTGCGCTTGAATGATTTATTGGGGAACAAACTCTCATACTCGTTTTCGGAAAGATCTTCCTTCTCTATCCTCAAAAGAACCTTTTCACCCACAGTACTTTCAAAGACAAATGCCTTCTCTGGTGGAACAGGTTGCCAATTTTGTATCTTACCTGCATCAATTGGTCGAGCTCCTTTGCGCAATGCGAGAACGACTACAGGAATGGGGTTTTCGGTATAGAATTTCTTGGATTCCGGTACAGGTCTGACACGAGCGGCCCAAATCTTGTTCTCAAAGACTGCTGTTCCTGTTACTTCCCAGGTGGTCTTACTTCCCATCCCTCCAACTTTTTGAAGGATACTTTCTGGACATGGGCGTGGAGTAATAAGAACATTATTGGCTAGAAATTTGGCTTCTGTATCTGGCATGTTCGATGGAAGCTGAGCTAAAGTAAGCAGCTTCTGAGTGTCAGTGTTATTGATCAAATATCCAGTATAGAAAACAGTCTTCTTAATCTGAAGCCTCTCGCCATAATTTCTTGCTTCAATGGCAGCATTATGATCATTGATCAAACGCTGTACCTCAGCAGCTTCCACAACCGGATCAAGTAATGTAGCTCCATCTGCAACTTGAACCACTTCGGCAACGATAGTAGAGCGAGATGGAATACCACTGGAGCCATTTTGACGTTTGTTGTAATCCGTAAAGAAATCTCTGAATGCCTTGACATGTCTGACTCTATCCTCGTAGATTCTGATTTCCTCAGCACCTTTATATGTCTCCATCAAACTTTCCAAGAAGCATTGTTTGAAGTTCATTGTGCTACTGAACCTCTCATTTCTGGGACCTGCCGCTGGTTTTAGGACAATCATATCCGTATCGAGACCCCTACTGGCAAGCATTTTTTTCAATAGTTCTGAAAATCCAGCCTCGGAACGACCAGTTAAGAGAATAGAAAGAACATCTTTTTGTTGCATACTCAGCTGAATGAGTTCAACAATTCGCTCATTCCACCAACCTTTCCAAGCTCGTGGCTCTTCTTTCTCTACACCTTCACCTGTAGCTGCAAGAATTCTCGAATCGTGCCACCAACCACCCGTCGCAAATGTGTCTTGAGTTTGTAGAAATCCTATGGTCGGTCCGTTCCATAATTTCGGATTGGGAAGAGGGCTGTTGAAAACTGTGAAAGTATGTTAGCAAATTGTATATGTAAATAGGAGCACAAGGCTTCGACAGGATGGTAAACTTTGCCCCTCTAGAAATATCATTAAACTTACGGGTATTATCAAAATCATAAACATGAAGTGCCTTAATTTTATCCACAGCTATAAATGATTAGCAATTCATCCATCCTCACTCCCAAATCTCTCCCGATCCAAAAACATCTTACCAGGCAACTGTTTATCCGCAACAGACCAACGATTCAAAGCCGTGGTTGTATATTGATTGAAGTTCGATCCCCCATTTGGAGTTTGCGCCATGATGAGGCGTAAGTCACAGTAACGTGAGAAGCTCTTGATAAGATACACAGTGATTTCAAGAGCTCTTGGGATAATGTGCAACTTCTGCGCTCAATTGTCGTTGTTTTGCAGATGCGATTGATAGGTACCTAGGTTCTCGACGTTGCCAGAATTTCTATCTGGTGTTGCTTTCCTCGAATCTCGAAATGCTTTGACCAGCCGTGGCGCTAAGCGTCTTAGAGTTTAGCGTAACAGTAGCGCTACGGTTCTCGACTCTCATTCGCTTCACACAATGAATGTTTTCTGTACACCGGACGTGATACGGAAAGAACCTAGAACAACAATCTACAATAGCCTCGATAATTCCAACAATGAAGAAGATTGTAGGTGGTTCTCTCAAGATAGTCAAACAAACCATTCATTTAAGCTGTCACGTTAAACCCAACTCCAGCGCATCAAGAGTAGGTATAAAAGCCTTCTCAGACACATCTTCTTCAATCGAAGTATGCGTCGCCCAACCAGCACGGGATAATGAAGCAAATAAAGGTGTTGTTGAGGTTTTGAGTCACGTATGGATTCATTTTTGTTACTGGCTTTTCTTTTGGCCAATATGTTTTAAACAGTATGATTATTGAATGATTGCCTAACAGTGTCTATGTAGATATTAAAATGTCCAAAGACCGACCTAGAAGTTATTCGTGGGAGAACATCGAAGGATAAGATTATTGCGTACAGAGGTATAGAGGACTTGTTGGTAGACGATTTTCTAGCTAAAATGACACTGGAAGGGGTTAGACAACGTTTGCGGATAGCAAGTAGAAATGCCAAGACCTGATAGGTTAGGGGTAGTTGGATTTTTGTTTTTGCGACCAGTACACCTCGAATCCACCATTCTTCCATACACCATTCGTTGAGATCCGGCAAGCCTTCATAGAGCATTCCCAAGATACTCATTCCGAAGATTCGTCTCAGTCAGTTTTGTCCACGAACGTAACGAATTCTACTCTGAGTATCCCTCACATCTTCGCTAGTTAGTCGAGATATGCCGATCATCCGTCCGGGAACTTTTTGACAGCGTGCTGCGGATTAGGGAGAATAATAGCAAAGCGCGCAGACCCATCGATAGCAAGATCAGCTCCAGCTCTGTACGCCGGCACAAGTCTTATAATGCTTCCCTGTTGAACCCTTCAAGTCGATCTGTCGTACCATGTCTGTCATCCCGTAGGCGAAGGAAGAATACATTATTGAAGAAGTGATCACCGCGTCACCTGGCGAGAAAGCTCCTATGTTGTATGGACTCGGGTCTTCGGTCAATTGAACCGTTACGCCAAAGTATGAGTAGTTGGCGGCGGTCAAGATGACAGTGTAAAGAGAGTAGAATGTTTACCATCAACAGCAATAACATGTAATTCCATCAAACATCATTTTGAGTGCGAGAGTAATTTGAGCTTAGAACCCCCCTCCCCCCCCCACAAACAATTACTGGAATATGATACAGGAAGGTATTCAGAACATGGCTGATTTCGTGAGGCTTTTGAAGGCATGATGTAGGATTCGACTACATAATCGAAATGAATGAACCGACGCACGTGATAACGGTCGACATCTAAAGGTAGATAGAAACTGGAGGGTGTAGACACAATCTAACGCAGTGATATTTTAGATACTTGGCATCTTCTGCGGCACACAACACATGTAATTATCGCTGAACAAAAACAAGCACGAAAATTACACTAAAGCGGAAATACTAGGATTTCGCGCTGAGTCCATACCCTCCACACTCCCATTCATCGACCAAGGATGGGGTACTGAGTAGACGATGCATGCGTACTTGTTGAACTTTGGAAAGGATCATCACTGGATGTTATTTGAGTACAAGTAGGATTCTGGCTGAGATGTACTCGTATTGGCTTGAAGGTTCCTCAATCGCTCCCGTGAACCCGCATAGATTATATTCCGAGAAGCAAAAGGAAGAAGAAGGTGCCGAGAAATCCAAGTCAACATCCCTTTCATCAGCGGCGTGCATCCATGTTCGAACGGTAGGGAAAGTTCTGCGAATCAAGAAAAGTGTGTACACAGTGTGGTACAATGTTCAGGTAGTTGTACTTTACTGCGTACAGTAACATTAATAGCCAAGATATAGAAGTTCATGGGGGTCCTGTAAGCAAGCCACAAAGCATGACAAGATGATTCTGCTTTTTTCGATCAGTGGATCCCCTCTCATGCGTCAGTAGTTTGATATGCGCGCCGGTTAAGTATGGAGACACCACAGAAGATCCTTTCCTTTTTGTTGCTTTTGGATAAATCCGATAAGATTTCACAGAGTTCAGGTGGAGGGGTGGATGGGATGTCAGTGGATATCCCGAGATAAAAATCCTTTTGAGAAGCCGATATCCGATTTTTTTTGAGATGTACGAAGTAGTAGTGGAGACATTGGAGATTTTGGAAGCCTTGTTAAAATGACACAAAATATTCTAAGAGATCTCGAGAAGGGATTAAACTTTACTCACATGAATGATTATGAAGCAGATGAATTAAGCTCGTATTAAAATGTGTTCATCTCGTATGTGTCGTCTAATAGCGTCTAAGGTAGAAAATCGTGATGATTGAGTAGGTGAAAGGTACCTAGGCAGTGAGTAGGCAGTGAGTAGGCAGTGAGTAGGCAGTATGATCCTCATGATTCCCATGATTCCTATGTTGGCGGAGAAGTAGTATGGTTCTCACGTTAGCTCAGTCGTATTATATACGGAGTAGCTATGTGTTTATATAGACACATGCTCGTTTCTATACTCCATATACGACCCTCAACGCGTCTTCCTCTTTCTCAACCCTCAGCAACGCCCAAAAAGTATCTCAAAGGAAAAGTATACACGCAACTGTGCAGCGTGTGCCAGTATGTTTCGTATGCATAAAGGGTCACTGGTCACTGGTCACTGATGGCATGTGACAGGAACCCCTCGGCTGTGGCTACCACTGCGTCATTCCCAGCTCTTTGGCACACAGCTCGTAGCTGAAAAGTGGAAACTCTTCTTCTTTGACCGATAAATCAGAGAACAAACGAGACCGAGAGGGGAAGTACTCAAAACGTCTGATCGATCACCATTGCTATTGTACTTTATTTGAGTTATGAACCCATATCGAAAAGAGATAAAGGGGAGGGATGCTGTCATCTATAGCATTTTCCAGTATCCATACAAATAGGTCTATTGTTCATGCGATGAGATTGGTTCGAAGGATGAAAGAAAGAAGCTCCGGGATTACGATATGAAGTTCTAAGTTCTTTCAAATGAATAATACAATTCGTCTTTGATTGGTTTAGAAAGAATTTCTATCAGAAAATCAAAATGTGGTGATAAATTGCAATGCTTGAATGGGTGACGATCAATTGCCACAACACAACATCTTACCTGCACACGCTCGGTTCGAGGAACACTAAGTAGCATGGTTCATGACAAGAAGAGCACCGGGAGAAGGAGGAGGAGTTTCTTTATCAGATCAGAGGACATCTTTTATAAGTAATACTCGAGTGTGCCTCCCTACGTACCTACATCGTACTTACTCCGTACACCTCCCTACTACCTAGTCCTCTACCTAGTACTTGGTTTGTGGCTCAAAGGTGCAAAGGTGGCATGTGCTTTTCTCTCGGTACGAGCCCCTTCATCAAAGCTTTTATGATTCAAAACTTGCTGGTGTTGGTACATTACATCGTCGAAGACTTTTCAACATTTAACAACACATCAAGTGGAGAGCTATGGAGTATTTGGTCGGCAATTAGATCAATGAGGGAGAGCGTCCTCCTACACGACCACACCCTTTTCTCTTCAAGTCTTGATTCAAACAGTTTTTTCTCTCGGTTGCATATATACATACTGACTAGGTTGTTATACCGATACCCAGGTAGATGCAGATGCAGTAATATGTAATATGTGTGTACTATGTATCTAATGAATGAAAGTTACAACTTACAACTTATATACAACTTATTACCACTTACCAATATTCCTCCGTATATTCAAGGTTCAAGGTTTTTGTCATTATCCCATCCAATGCGTAAAATTTAAAATCTTATTACTCTCGGGGATCTCTTCCGAAAGATCAATAAATTAATAAGAGGTGGTCCCTTATTCAAACATGCAAACACTCAAGCAGCCTTTCACCCTTTTCTCGACATCTAATTCGTGCTGGAGCTCACGTCTCCTCCCTCTCTATGAATCTTGATGTTTTTTCTCCTTCGCCTCCATCCTTGTATCGTTTTCTCATTGCGGATTACTGGAAAAAATTAAAGCTGGTCCCGTCCAATGATATTCAGGGTTCATGGAAAGTTTTCATCGGCAAATAAAAGAATAAGGCACAGGAGTACAACACAGCACAGACAGACAGAGCAAAGGGCCAGAAGAAAAAGTGATAAGTGACCCTGAGCGAGTGAGTGACTCGAGTATAATCCATGATAATGCAGAAAGATAGAGAGAACACTCCATACACATCTCATCAATACTTCCAGCACACCCGCAGTCCACCCACCATCAGCCAGATTGGTATTAGCTGCTCTGATATAGGTAAGGTCTACTTCCCAGTCAAGACTAACATGATTTAAATCACATCTAAAGTTTTTAAACTTTCAAAAGGAATCTCCACTTCACCAGGATTAAACTTGATATTCTTGCTAATGGTACGAAAGTGTTTCCTAGTACCTATCGTGGTTTATTAAATTGTAGCAACTGGATTTTGGAATTCGGACTTTGAACTTTGGACTTTGAACTTTGGACTTTGAACTTTGAATTTACTTTAGACTCTGAACTTACTTTGAACTCTACCTCTTACTCGTCTACTCGTCTACTCGCCTGCTACCCGCTGTCCTCCTACCCTCCCACCCTACGACTCCGTGCTGTATCATTCATTTTATATCATTTGGCACCAGCCGCACTACCCATTCTCTCATCGCACCTCGTACCATACTATACACACCTCACACTTAGAAAACCATAATGTCACACTTAATTTGAAAAGAAGAAGAAAAGAGAGAGAAGAAAAAAAGGGCAGCCGCACCAAAGATATACGCATCAAACCTTCTTTCTTCCTCTATCCTTCCCTCTCTTGTTCCTCGAGTTCTAGATCTGCAGCCTTTTAATAGAACCACACACACATACACATACACATACACATACACATACACACACAGCCGGACCGCTTGAGATCTAGATAGTCGTCCCGTTCTAGATTGCTTGTTTGTATCCCTTCAACATCAATCCATTCATTCTCTTCAATCTCTATTCTTGTAAGTCGTCATCCTTAACTCGATCGATACATTATACCCCAGGAAAAAAAACAGCATCGTTTATCACTTTATCACCTTATCACTCATATCACTCACATCATCATTCAAATCTCGTTTCTCAAATAATCCTCCGGGATTCTCCAAAAATGACTTCCCGTTAACCGTGTGTGTTGGCCTACAGCTTTTATTACACTTTAACACCTTTTAAGGCATTCTTTTTATTTTTTTCCCACCGACGCGACGGCCCGTGCATCTAGAAAAAGGTCATTTGTACTACTACTGGGTACCTGGAATCATCGTCCCTTTTTATATATACTCCCCGTCTCTATCTATATAGAGGTTATCCTCGCCCACATCGTCGTCGACAAATCAGGTTCTTTGGGGGGAAGGGAATAATATCGTTTGATATTCCTGTCATCGGACAGGTTCCCGCGCAAATATGATGGAGAAGGGTGGAGATATGGCTGGTCCTTCCGCCAACAATTCCAGCGACTTTGTAAGTACACACACACACACACACACACAATACTTGTACCTTTTCGCGACGTGATGGCGCAAAT